AGTCCCTGCCTGGTTTTAGGAAGAGGGTTATGATGGCTTCATAGAATGTGTTCGGTAGTGAACTTTCTCTTTCAATTTCATTGAAGAGTTGGAGGAGTATTGGTGTGAGCTCTGCTTTGAAGGCCTTGTAGAATTCCGCTGTAAAACCATCTGGTCCTGGACTTTTCTTAGATGGGAGGTCTCTTGTTGCTGTTTCTATTTCGGTGCTTGATATGGGCCTGTTAAGATGGTTTAACTCATAATGTCATTCTTTCTGATGGAGGCATAGAATTCCATTGTGTATATATACCACATTTTCTTGATCCATTCATCTACTGAGGGGCATTTAGGTTGGTTCCATACCTTAGCTATGATAAATAATGATGCAATAAACATAATTGTGCTGGTAAATTTAGTATGGTCTTGTTTGTGATCATTTGGGTAAATGCCCAAAAGTGGGATTGCTGGGTCATAGGGATGCTCTATGTGGAGTCTTTCAAGGAACCTCCATATTGATTTCCAAAGTGGTTGAACAAGTTTATACTCCCACCAACAATGCAGTAGGGTTCCCTTTTGGCCACATCCCCTACAGTATCTGTTCTTATTAGAGTTCTTGATTATAGCCATTCTAACTGGGATGAGGTGGAATCTCAGTGTTGTTTTAATTTATATTTCTTTTATGGCTAGAGAAGTGGAGCATTTCTTCATGTGTCTATTGGCCATTCTTTTTTTAAAATAAGTTTTTTATTGTGAGAATACTGTACAGAGGGGTTACAGTTACATGAGCAAGGTAATGAGTGCATTTCTTATCAAGCATTGCTGCCGCCTCCTTTGTTTTTCCCCTACCATCCCTCCCACCTCCTCAACTACACTCCTCCTCTGCCCCTGTCAAACATAGCATCTTGTACATTTCATTGTTGCAACGGGTCAACCTGTATCCCTATTTAAACAGTTTGTTTTTTCCCTTCCCCTACCCAAATTATACCTACATCAAATACAGTGAAGACAGGGATTGTACCATGGAGGAGGGACATACAAAACAACAACAAAACCACATGGTACCTTATAAATATGTTAGAAACAATAGGAGGAAAGAAAAAAACGACTTGTGTCCTTATCTTGGGGTTCATTTCACTTAACATCATCTTATCTGACCTTTTCTTCTTGTTCCAGACATATACTAGCTATTGCAAATAAGGGAAACCTTATTTCCTCTTCAGAGAAGTTTCTCTTTAAGTCTTTAGCCCACTTATTTATCGGGCAGTTGTTTCTTTGAAGATTTGTTGTTGGGGGATTTAATTTTTTGAGTTCCAGGTATATTTTAGATATGAGACCCTTGTCCATTGTATGGCTAGTGAAGATCATCTCCCATTCCATGGGTTTTCTATTGATCTTGCTAGCTATGTCCTTTGCCATGCAGAAGCTCTGAAGTTTCATTGCATTTATTTTTGAGATGGGATCTTGCTATGTTAGCTAAGCTGATCTGGAACACACTATCTTTTTTTTTGTCAGTCATGTGGCTTGAACTCTGGGCCTGGGTGCTGTCCCTGTGCTCTTCAGCTCAAGGCGAGCACACACTATCTTTATGTTCTACCTTCCCACAAGTGCCTGGGATTACAGATGTGGGCTGCCATGTCCAATTGAATCATATGCTTTCAATGGGAAAATTCTATAGTTTGTGAATTATATTGCAAATTTGGGGAGAAGTAAGAGTCTTAGCAGGAGAGACTGCGTTTTACCTGTACCTGTGAGACTTGATTTTATATAGGCGACAGTAGGATGGGAGAGCAATGCTACTGAATAAAAAGCTTTTTCATTATCATCATCATCATCATCATCATCATCATCATCATCATCACTATAATCATTATTAGCCAGTCCTGGGGCTTGAACTCTGGGCCTGGGCACTATCTATCCCTGATCTTCTTTTTGCTCAAGGTTAGCACTCTTCCACTTGAGCCACAGCACCAATTCTGGCCTTTTCTGTTTATGTGGTAAAGGTAACTCTACCTTTAAGCCACATTCCCAGCCTTTTTGAGATGGTAGAGTGCTTGTCTGCTCAGGGAAAATACCCAGGCTCTGAGTTCTAGCCCCAGGGCCAACACACACACACACACACACACACACACACACCCCTCTACACACACCTATACACACACACACACAGACATAATTGGAGCTAGATCTTTTTTTAAATGTACCTAAAATCAATAAATTCCAATAGTGATAAAAGGTTATTTTATTGTTATCAGATACAAATAAGTTACCCAGGAGAACCAAATTCAGAAAAGGATGAAAACACTACCAGAGAAGGAGAATTTGGTATGGGGAAAAGCAAGAGCTTGGGAATTTTGTTTTTCTATTTTAATTTCTATTTTATTTTCAATTCTTTGAAAATCTGAGTGGTATTACTTGACTTTTATAAGAAAGCATGAAAATGCACATTCCATTAGTGAATATAGAATAATTCTGTCTTTTCATTAGACAACTCTTTTAACTTCTTTAGCCAATTAGTTTTATCTCACCTATCCTCAAACACAAGGCATATGCTGTATTATTCTGTCATTACACAATGGAGATGGATTGCATGGTCTGGAGTTTTCTTTTTCTTTTTTTTTTTTACTTAGAAACCCACTGAGCTTTTATTTAATCTAATTTTGAGAAGATGTAGAGTTTGTTATTGCTTATTTTTTCTTAGTTTTGATTACATACATTTGCCCCTTCCTTCTTGGAACAACTGGCCCTCCTTATTGTTCCTTCTGCATCTGCAGATTCAACCAAACACAGATGGAAAACTGTTTTAAAAAAATGTATGCCCATACTCAAAAAAAAAATTGTTTCCTTCTTGTTATTCCTGTACCCATCCAAGATAGTACAGCAATTATTTACACTGTGCTAAATGTACGTAGAGATGCTTCAAAGCATGTTGGAAGATGCATATACATATATGTAACTACTGTGCTTATAGAAGCGACTCGAGTACCCAAAGATTTTGGTATCTGTGTGTGTGTTTGTGTGTGTGTGTTTGTGTGTGTGTGTCTTGAAATCACCCCGCAGGAAATGAAGGAAAGCTGTACATGATTTACATATACATATACATATATGTACATACACACCAACACACATGCTGAGGGCCATCACATGAAAGGCATGTACTGGGAGCTGGGGATACCCCAGTGAAAAATGACACAATTTCCAAGGAGTGCTTACTCTTAGGAAGTCAATGGGTAATTATGATGTGACATTCATAAAGGTAGGATATAAAGTATTTGGGAAGGGGGCCTCACTCCTTGGGAGTCAAACAAGACTTCCTAGAGGTGGTTGCACTAAAATCAGCAAGTGAAGGTTGAGTAGAGGCTGGGGAAGGGAAGGTGATGCAGGAGAAGAAACAGTTTTTGGGTTGAACAACAAGTGAAGTCTGGTATCTAATTGGGAATAAAAATCTCTCTCTCTCTCCTGACCAGGCTGGCTTTAAACCATAGTCCTCAGTGGAGAAGAGAGGAATAAGATATGCATATTTTATTGTCTGGAACCCACGAATGTGTCACATATCACATGGCATGTGATTAAAAATTTTAAAATTCAGGCATTGTGTGGATCATTTAGGTAGATCCAGTGTAATTGTAAGGATCTGTATAAGAAAGAAACCACTTACGCATTTTGGCTCCCAGAGTACTATTAGGACCAGGTCAAATTAAGCAGACAAGATATTAACTAGTCTAGGGAAGAAGGAAACTTAACTGGGATAATTAAGTCCCAGGACCTAAAAATAGTAAGTGCAAACTTCAGAAAAGGGAATAAAACTGTGGCTTGACATTTGTGGAGAATTGCAAAGCAAGTAAAAATAAGGTCGACAGTCTGCAAGGCTAACCACCAATGTCCCAATGTCTGTTTTATGTGATGATGCTTGCTCAGCAAACATACTAAAACATGGAACTCGACCCTTTGCAGTTAGCTTTTATTGATTAATAAGAATTAGGCCAAACTTGAAAGGTAGGATGGATCTCCCTTTAAAAGAAAACCTTCAGGTTAGTCAAAAACCCAGAGATAAAGGCTTCAGTAAATCAGGGGTTAAACACCAGGTTACTGAGATTTGATAATAGATTTAAAAAACTAGGTAGAGCTTAGAGTATGCTCTGGTCATTATCAGTTAAACCCCAAACTGGGAACAAAAGGAAGATCTATGGTGAAAACTTTGCATTGATTGATTATTGAAATTGTAATCACCATTTATGGCTTTGTGGTAGATAATCACTAACTGCTAGACTGATAGTTCTGCTTTTGTAACTTGCTTCTTTGCTGATTGTGAAATTACTCCTGACCACCGGTGAGTGGCCTCTGTGGTTTTTGCCTTTATATTCCCTGAGCTATTTGAGTTCAGAGCTGCTCTTTGTCCCCCCGAATGACAGAGAGTGGTCCCCATGCAGAGAAATAAAACATCCTGGCTTGATCGACTGTGTGTCTGGCTCTCATTCTGGTATTCAGGAAATTTTCTGGATAAAACAGTTCATTGCTTTCAGCCTCCCTGTCTGTGGCAGTTGCTACAGCAGCTGCTAGAAACTAATAATGGTGGTAGGCTGAAGAACGGTGGGCTAGGGGACAAAGCTCTTTGTTAGTCATTACGGAGTTGAGACTTTGTTCTGTTGGCAATTGGAGCCTGTGGAAGGATTATAAGATTGTATTTTAGAGAGATGGTTGTATTCCAGAGAGTTTGTTCTGGCTTTGGTCAGGGAGATGGATGGGATGGGATTGAGGAGAGGATGAGCAGTTCCATGAAAAGTTCACATGGCTAGGGTGGCCTTGATTCCCAGTGAAGGCTTTTTTTTTTTTTTTTTGCCCAGTCCTGGGGCTTGAACTCAGGGCCTGGGCACTGTCTCTGAGCTTCTTTTGCTTAAGGCTAGCACTCTACCACTTGAGCTACAGCGCCACTCTGGGCTTTTTCTGTTTATGTGGTACTGAGAAATCAAAACCAGGGCTTCATGCATGCTAGGCAAGCACTCTACCAAGAAGCTTTTGCTCACCTTGGTTTTCTACATCCTTCAGTGGGTCCACCCCTGGAGACAGGATAAAAAACATGGGAGTGGCTGGTCCTGATTCTTCAAATGAGGAAGCAAAATCAAGTGCTCTTCCCATGATGTATTTGCTTCCTAACTTCTCCTCCACAAAATCTCTGCAGAAAGAAAAGTGTGTGTGTATATATATATACACACACATTATATATATGTATAATGTATCCTGGTGGGAAATGCCAACATTCAAGAACTGGAAACTTCTAGAAAAGGGAAGGTATGTGATGGGCTAAGTAGGCTATCTTTCAAGCCAACACTTCCAATCCACACTGCTGGTCACAGGGCTGCTCAGCCTGGATTGGGGCTCCCTCTAAACCAGCATGCACTGAGGCCATCACTGAACCTTTCTGTGGATGCCCTTCCCAACATCCCATCCTTAAGGATAAGTATGGAATCCAACAGAAGCTATATCCCTGCTCTGCCCCATCCTTGCCCAATATTGAAGGCCTGATTACATTGTCTTCTTTCACATCCTGTTTTTGTCTGGGCTTCCTTTTCTCTCACTCCACTAAATAATACCCTCTTTCCAAAGTGGCCTGTTCTGTGCTCAACAGATCCTCATGACTGCAATCACTTAGTGAGACCCTGAGATTCTGACTAATCCCAGAAGACACTCTGCCTGTAGGATTCCCATCCTGACTCATTCTCCTGTAACTAATGATACAGCATGGTGGTGAGTAGGTCCTGCTCGCTGCCTGTTGTTGTGCCTGTTGTTTTTGAGCCATTTCCTCTCCATCCTAGGGGCTGCATTGGGTGAGGTGTGTTTCCCCTGACAATGTCACTTGTATCTACACACACGATGTCATCTATGGCCCCATTTGGTCACCTTGCATTCATAACCACTGTGGCCTCCAGCCTGGTTGACAGCAAATCCATGTGGACAATACTCTAGTCTTAGTGACATCAACTCAAGTGATCATACTTTTTTTTTCTGCTTCAGCCACATAATTCTATGTCCACACCCTCATCTATGTCACTGGGAGCCTTTTCTATGCTTGAAACCATACAACATTCAATTAGCAAAATCTTCTATCCTGACAGGTTTGTTTGCTTTTCACTGTGTTTTTCCTTCACTATTCTTTGTCTGTATTGGTATCACTAAAATGCAGGATGCTACTTGGAATTCTTTCAGTTTCCCTGTTTATTCTTCAATCCCATTTCTTTCATAATCATTTTCAAGTCTTCTTCACTCAAATTATCCAACTTCTTTTCAGCATAATTTAAATTTTTATTGCCTTGCAAGAAAGCCTGAAGAGTAATTAGTACTAGAATGTTTTTATTGATGGATGGACTGATTGTTATTGTAGAGTTGATATAGAGAGGTGACAGTTACATGAATCAGGTAATGAGCACAATTCTTTTTAAACCATGGCCCCTTTTGCCTTCCTATCTTTTATACACACTCAGTTGATGAGCTTTCCACTAAAGGGATAAGAAGCTGACAGATGGAAAAAAATCCCTTCTCCATTTTCTGCCATTCATTTATAACCTTATAGCTATAACCACAAATCTTTCCTTCCTTCATCCCTTTATTTGATATGCTAAGGATGGCTGGATCCTCCACCTATTTCCTGGATCCAGACAAGCTCTATCTCATTAGATGGGATTAGCTCCCTCCCTCCCTCTCTCTCCCTCCCCCCTCCCTCCCTCTCTTCCTCTCTTCCTCCCTCCCTTCCTCCCTCCCTCCCTCCCTTCCTTCCTTCCTTTTCTCTCTTCTCTTCTATCTTTCTTTCTTTCCTTCCTTCCTTCCTTCCTTCTTTCTTTCTTTCTTTCTTTCTTTCTTTCTTTCTTTCTTTCTTTCTTTCTTTCTTTCTTTCTTTCTTTCTCTTTCTTTTTTTCCTTCTCTTCCTTTCTTTCTTCCTTCTTTCCCTCCCTCTCTCCCTCCCTCCCTCCCTCCCTTCCTTCCTTCTTTTTTATTCTCTTTCTCTTTTCCTTTCTCCCTCCCTCCTTCTTTCTCTCCCTCCCTTCCATACTTGGGATTGAACTCAGGACCTCATGCACATCAGGAAAGAATTCTACCTCATGAGCCATGCCAAATCCCTACCATGACTCTTTTCAGAGCTGGTATCGATCAGCATCTCGTTCCAAACTGTCCACTGCAATACTAAGAACATATGTGGCCTACACATACATGGCCCTATCAACCTCAAGGGACTTTAGATTTTAGAAGAAAGACTTACCATATAATCATGACCTTGGCACTCAGCCCTGCCAGGATGGCTACCGTGATAATCCCCTCACTGCGTGTCTGTCCACCCCTGCCCTGACTCCCTACCTCATAGCATAGGTCATCCGGTCGGGCCGCATGGCCCGCATCATGCAGAGGCGCTGCAGGGCTGTCTTGTTCTTCCACTCCTGGGGGAACTTCTCCTTCTCAGGACATTCTGACTCCACAAACTTCTTCCAGCTTTTAGCGGATCCCTCGATGTCCCGATCCAGATTGTAGAATTCTTCCATCGATGAAAGTACCTGGGGAAGTTCAGGGAATCTTGCTCTGAATCTTACTCTAGAAAGCTGTGGGTGGGTGTGGCTGAGAGGTCCCATCCTTGTTCTTTGAATTCATCCATTCAGCCACTCATTCTTTCAAGATTAGTTGAATGTCTACGATACCTCGGGGACTTGGGAATGCAATGGTGAACACATAACAGAAAAAAAGATGGGTCTTCTTAGTTTCCTAAGTTTCTTAGGGTCCTAAGTTAAGAAGAAGGAACCTGAGGGAAGACTTGGAAAATATGTAGAATTGTCTTGGGCAGAGATAGAGATAGAAGTGAGAGGGCTTTTATGGAGATCATCAAAAGGAGCTAGAGCCGAGGTGCCAGTGGTACATGCCTAGAATCCTAGCTACTTGGGAGGCCAAGACTGGGAGGATCTTGGTTTGAGGCCAGCTTGGGTAGAAAAATTCATGAGACCATTTCTCAACTCACTGCTGGGTGCAGTGGCCCATGCCTGTTAATCCAAGATACCCGAGAAGCTGAGATTGGGAGGTTCACAGTACCAGAGAAGCTCAGGCAGGAAAGTCCAAGAGACTTCGGTATCCATGTTAGGAAAGCTGGGCATAGTAGCATGCACTTATGATCCTGGTGATCATGGGAAACCTAAAATAGGCAGATCTTGGTTCTAGTACCCTCTGTGTAGGAAGTGAGACTCTGTCCTAAAAATAACCAGTAACAATGAAAGGGGTGACATTGATCAAGATGTATTCATAAATTGCTTTGTTAAATGCCAACTCCTTTGTACAACTACTTTAAGATATTAATATTAATAATAATAATAATAAAACTCAATATAAATCAAGGCTGGAGGATTGGCTCAGTGGTAGCAGGTTCAAGGTATCAGTTCAAATTCCAGTACTGAATAGAGATAGAGTCTGTGGGATGGTGCATGACAGAAAGCACTGTAGTGACAAGAGGAGCCTAATTAGTGATGGGGACAAGGCAAAGCTGCAGAAAGACATGCACAAATCCTGGCCTTGCCTACTCTCCTCTCTCTTGGGGACACATACATTCCTTCCACATGGGTTCTGTGGCTTTCCAATTTCATCCTCATCACTAAGAACATAGGAACCCTTCTTTCCTGCTCAGAAGTGGTGTTGGGTGGTGTGGGTGACCATGGAAGAGGCACAGGGAGAAATGAATTCTGGTTCCGGCATCAGTGCTGACGAGTCATTGGACTTTGAGCTTGTTTGAAGCCTTCATGGGCTTTTTCTTTTTCTTTTCTTTTCTTTTTGTTGTCGCTCATAGGGCTTGAACTCTGGGCCTGGGTGCTGTCCCTCAGCTCTTCAGCTCAAGACTAGTGCTCTACCACTTGAGCCACAGCACCACTTCTCATTTTCTGGTAGTTAATTGGAGAAAAGTCTCACAGACTTTTCTGCTTAGGCTGGCTTTGAGCCGTGATCCTCAGATCTCAGTCTCCTGAGTAGCTAGGATTACAGATGTGAGCCACTGGCACCCTACTCTTTTCTTTTCCTTTTTCCTTGTAGAAAATGAGGCCAAGTAATCATCTTTCCTATTTCCTCCTGAATTGTAGACCTCATCATGCTTTGAAAACTATAAAGCCCTCTCTGGCCCTTTCCTTGGGGGCTGTCTAGGGATTGAAACAAAACTGCCGGCTGTCTTGTCTATTATTCCTAATGATGGTGAGTCCCTTGAGGGAAAGCACTTTCATGGGCATTGCCAGGCACTTAGGAAGTGGTCAATTAATAACGTTGGACATCTGGGAGGCCAGCAGGTGGGCTTTTGATGGGTGGAGAAAAACTTCAGCTGCTACAATTATTTCTCTCTGTGCTGAGGAGGCAACTTTCATCTTGCAGTCAGCCACTCCCTCTCTCTTCCCAGTGTACATCATTATCCTTCTGCAGTCTGGTTACCCCCTTCAGCATCATCTCCATCAAACAGGAAATTCCTCTGTGATCCCTGTTTCCCAGCTGCCAGGACTGGATCTCACACTACTTTCTTGGAGATACTGGTTGGAACAACCACCTTAACATTTAATCTCCTAGATGAGGGAAAGGGATGTCTGAGCCTTCTAATAAGCTAAATGGAAATGACTAACTAACTTAATGACTTTGAACTGAGGTGCAGAATACAACTGAACTAAAACGGTAGCCCAAGAGGTAGTGAGGGGGCCTTTTCCAAAGGCTGACAAAGAAATTCATAACTGATGAGCTTTTCTAATGAAGAGCCGAATGTGCTCATTACCTTAAAGTTCCGCATTTCATGGATCTGGAAAAAAAATTCTTCACAAAAGGAAAACAATAAAAGCAGGATTTTATCACAAAAATGTCATTCGTTACTTGCTTATTAGTTCTTCTGGAGAAACAAGGCAATCAACCTTCCTTGTTAGACAGGAAATCAGGTCCTATTCAATTATAGTTACTTGGTTTCTTTAGACTAACATCCAAGTGAACACTTTAATAGCATTTCTGGAGATCCCCAACAATGTGTACTATGTATTGCTTTGTGCTTCACCTGTGCACATCCTGGGCTCTGCAGGAATTTGATGAATCTAGGCTTTTTTTAAAAAATAGTTTACTCCAGACAACAAACTCATACAGAGAGATAAAGCGTTGCTCATTTGCAAAAAGACTTTGGGCAGCCAGATGAGCTCAGCCCACAAAACAAAACAAAAAAAGTGGTGTGAGGCAAAGCCAAGCAAAGCCAACCAAACAATCTATCTTGTGAAAGGAGAAAGGAAATAAAATTACACAATGGCTTTGGAGTTGAGCTATGTATGATGAAAGCCTATGAACCACTTATTCTTCTCAGCTTTTTCTGCAGAGGGCTTTGTGGGGTGATACTGAAAAAGGCAACTGGACTTGGCCCAATTGAGCAACAATTCTCAATTCCTCAAAGTTTTTCTTTTTCAGAAGAAATTCTACCAGGTAAGAGCTACATTATTCACAGCACGAATGTAACTTTATAGCTATGTAATTAATAATCATAATTATGGGGCTACTTTGCCCCCCCCAAAGCATATTGAAGATCTAATGTGTTGGACTTGGAAATATGACCTTATTTACAATTATAGTTGTTTTTTTTTTTTTTTTTTGGTTGGTCTTGGGGCTTGAACTCTGGGCCTGGGTGCTGTCCCTCAGCTCTTCAGCTCAAGGCGAGCTCTCTACTGCTTGAGCCACAGCGCCACTTCCCATTTTCTAGTTGGAGTTAAGAGTCTCATGGACTTTCCTGCCGGGGCTGGCTTTGAACCGTGATCCTCAGATCTCAGCCTCCTGAGTAGCTAGGATTACAGGCATGAGCCACTGGCGCCTGGCTACAAATATAGTTTTGAATCAGTGTAAGATTATATCACTAAGATGGGCTTTAATCCAACGTGCCTGGTGCCCCAGGAGAAGAGGAAGGGCATAGGGAATTGCAGAAAGAAGACAGTCTTGTGAAGATTGTGAAGTCAGAGACTAAGGTTAGTTTGATGGGGCTCCAAATCTAAAAGCTAGTAGAGATGAGAACACATCCTCCCAAAGGATTTAGAGGGATCGAGACTCCCTCCAAAACCTATCAATTTTAGGTTTCTAGGTTCTGCAACTTTTGAGAGAATAAACTTTTGTCATTTTAAGTCATTAGGTCCATACAACTTTTCTTTGGGAGCTCTGGAAACCAACATATAACCAGAAAGATTTTCTATTTCCTAAATACTCACTCTGTGTCTGAAATAACAGAGGAGGAGGAGGTTAGCTCGGCCATTTTGCAGATAAAGAAACAGAGTCTCAGAGAAATTCAGTAACATACCAGAGGCCAACATACACACACAGACTTGAACAAGAACCTAGGGATGTCTGACTCCAGAGCCTGTGTTAACTGGTTTGTCTCCATCATTGCTCCCATTCTGCAAGTGGGTTCATCCAGAACTGCTTTATAGAACACCCTTTCCATAAAGGAATCAGACTATGAATTACCATGCTCATGGTCTGGAGCCATACTTCCTTCCTTGCTTCCTGCTTTGCTTGCTTGCTTGCTTGCTTGCTTGCTTCCTTCCTCTTTCTGTCTTTCTTGTTGCTGTTTCTAGGGCTCGGGCACTGTTCTTGACCTTTTCTGGTCAAGGCTAGTGCTCTACCACTTGAGCCAAAGTTCCACTTCTGACTCTTTTACTAATTAGTTGAAGTAAAGAGTCTAAGGGTCTTTCCTGCCCAGGCTAGCTTTGAGCCACAAGCCTCATTCTCAGCCTGTTGAGTAGCTAGGTCTACAGATGTGAGCCACCGATGCCCAGATCCTATTCCTTTTTTTAAGAGAGGGGACTTAGTACATTACCTAACCTAGATTTCCTCCCTCATCTTCCTGAATAGTTGAGACTACAGGTCCATGCTACTATGCCCAGCTCAGGGATAGAATTTCCAATTTTATTTAATTTTAATGGCTTAAAAATTTAAGTGTAAAAACTAGAATTTGTTTCCATAACTGGAAAACTTTTAAAGGTATTTACAATAACTTGGGTATATAAATCAGTGGTTTTAACAATAGCTTTTATGAAAGCTAAAAACAAATATTGTTGATGAAAACTTCCAATTTAAATAAGCCATATGTGTAAAAATAATGCACCCCAGATTTCAAAGACAGTGCAAAAATACAAGATAATTTATCAACAATTATATGGTTCCAAGCTTAAGTGTCCCTCTAGAGATGCTAAAGGGTTAGTTGCTAGACTGTGGAGCTTCTTGCAAATAGCAGACATTTTAGGGGGTGGGGCCTAGTGGGAGGAAGCTAGGTCATTGGCAGAATGCCATTGCTTTTGCTTCCTGGTTGCCATGGAGTGAACAGTTTTGCTCAAACATAGGCTTCTATTGAAAGCAAGGGGCTGCCAGGCAAAGTGGTGCCTGTAATCCTAGCATTTAGGAACCTGAGGCAGGAAGATTTTGAGGGTTTGAGGGCAGTGTGAGATACATGTAGAGATCCTGCCTCAAACAAAATAAGAAACCAAACACAAATGAAAGCAACAGAGCCAAGTGACCATGAGCCAACATAAACATTTACTTTCTTGCTTTAAAATTTTTTTTCAGTACAGGCCAGGCAAGCCTCTATCACTGAGGTACATCCCCATCCCTTAACATTTTCTCTGCTAAGTTTCTCTTTGATATTTTGTCATAGCGACAGAGAGCAGACTAGCAATAATTTTCATAGCACTGTATATATTGAAATTGTAAATGTTTGCTGTTATGGGTTAAAGAAGATATGTTAGTAAAACTAATTTTATATACTTTTAATTTTTGGAGGAGGAGGAGGAGGAGGAGGATGCAGGTAGTGGAGTTTAAACTCAGGGCTTCATGCTTGCTAGGCAGTTACTCTTCTACTTGATCTACACCTCTTGCCCCATCTGTATCTTTTTGTATTTTTAAAAATATGACTACTACCAAAGATAAAACTACACAAGTGGCATGCATTATATATGTCAGTGCTATTCATTCATAGTGTGTGTGGTCTAAGGAAAGTAAGTGGCTTTCAATATCTTTTCCTTCATTGCAATTCTTCCTAGATATTTATAAATCTGTGATTTTAGTTGCCCTTGTGTCTGGAATCTTCCCTTCTTCCTTCCAAAACTTACTTTCTCATTCATCAAGTTGGGCTTAGAATGATAAGTGAAATGAAATAAAAATTGAATTATACCATTGTTATTTAGATCAAGGATTAAGCAAATTCCACCTCTCAGGCCTTATCTCTCCTACTACCTGTTTTTTTGTAAAGGAAAATTTTATGGGACCTCAGGCGTGACCTCTCATTTCCATACTGTGTATGGTTCTGACATGGTTGAGTAGTTGCTTAAATATTTATACTATGTGGCCTTGTAGAGAAGAAGTGTCACCTGCCTCTGATGTAGATGGAATCCTAAAGTTAATTAAAAGAATAGCTCTGGACTCTGAAAATGAAGCTAGGAAAGTCTTCTGAGTGATGGTGGCATTATTGGAATTAGACTGGGGTGTCCTGTAATGATTCCTTCTGGGATATCTTGTAATGATTCCTTTGAATGGGTCAGCCTGCATGTAAATAATTTTGGGATACTGTTTTAAAGTCAATAGATTAGTTTGCATGGTTCTCAAGGGGATTTTGTTGACTGAACAAACCAACATCTCACAGGTCATATACAATGTGTTTCTACCCATGTGGCATCCTTGAGATGACAAATAGTGGACAAGAGGAGAGCAGTTAGTGCTTGGTCCATGTGAGGAATTGAGGGAGGGAGGAAGTGGCTGTGGTTGCAAAAGACAAATGTTAGGAATCTCTGTAAGGATGGAACTTCATGAATCCTCACATCCTGCCATACATCACGTCAAGCTCTCCGAGTGCAAGCACAGTCTCTGCTGAACAGACCTTACGGTTTGAGATTTTTTGCAGTATGTATAGGGTGTCCAAACTAAACTAGGTTGCACAACATGGGATGAAAATGGGCTTTGTTATTTGTAAGTGTTGAAACCTAATTCTCTTTATCTGTTAAGTGGAAACAAATAACACCAATTGCCATGCTGGTTGTGAGTATGATGTAAGACAATGCATTCCAAGGCACTCAGTAAACACAAACTATTACCAAATGATGATTGTCCAGGTGGGCATACATCCCCTGTTTGGAGTCTAAGTTTGAATTCACATAGATGCCACTCTAGTTCCTGCCTGTTTTCTGGACATGGTATAGCAACATCTCTACATCAGCTCCCTGGACATGCCAATGAGTCCATCTTCCAGCCCTGAGCACTGGCAGGTAAAGGCCAGCTTATTTGATGGGAAGCTTGTGGAGAACCCTTCTATTCCCTCCTACCTTGGAGACAAAGCACTTCACACTAGAATGAATTTACTTCTCCTCTCCTTGCCTGGGGGCGGGGGAGGGCATGGAGGTTAGCACATAAAATGGGGATAGATCTATATTCAATACAGTCCCATGCTTGAATTCCAAAAGAGAATTGATGTCTCCTTTCGACCATGTAAATATGTATTAGGGAACTTCTCTAAGAGATGAAAACTTGGCTTCTTTCTAGGGGCCAGTACTAACCTTGACGCCTCCCCAGGCCTGATTGGAGAGGAATTCCACTGGGCTGGGGGTGTCAGCCTGCACTGGAGATCGAAGCAGGAAATCCAACTCTGCTGCATTGACTTCTTGGTTCATGAGGAGAATCTGTAGTGGGGGCAGGGAGAAAACACTGTCTGCTTTAGCTTGTGTGGGTCACAAGGTCCTAGAGATCTTAGTGACTGTCAATCAGTGTAATTATTGTTGCCTCAGACACTAGAGCTTGCCCATTCATGGCGAAGTGAGAGAGAGTGTGTATTCATGTAAATGACTTCTGGGTGCGTCTGCTTGTACTCCAAAGGTCAGAGTGATGTAAAAATACACGATGGATGACTATATGTCTGGAGTAGCAAGCATTTATCATGTATCAATCACAAACACCATAGAGTATGTGTCTGCAATTTAATTGAGCAGGTGACACATACAAATGACATGGTTTGAGGGAAGTGTCAAAGCAACACCAATATGAATATATGCAAAATAGAAATATGTATCTGAATCAATAATGTGAAAGAGGTTCCAAAATAGAGGAGTGGTCAACCAGCCAGGGGAAGGAAGGGATTCATTCGCCAATACAAGTAGCCTTGAATTGGGCATGGAGAAGCTAAGAGATGAAGGCAGATAGGTGGGCAATGGAAAGTGAAGAGGTTTGGAAGGGGATTAGAGAGGTGTGAGTAGCGGAGGGAAAACTTTTGGCTTGCTTAGAGACTGGATCCACAGAAGAAGGTGGGGCCCATGTTCTTTGCAAAGACCAGGCTGTTATCTAGGCTGGTGTGGGGAATACTGCAGGTGAGAAAAATGAAGCATGCCAACACTAACACACAAACTCAGGCTTTGTAATGTGCAAAATGATGACAGGATATCTGACTTCTAGTCTTGGAAGTGGCCTTTGAGATAATGTAGCCTAAGCTACCAATTGTGTTGGAAAATTTTATTTAGAAGTCAAAGGTAAGTGAAGGGTTGTAAATTATACGGTTTTATGGTACTGAGATTAAATGAAAGACTAAGGTTTCTCCTCAAAAACATTGGAAGTCACTGGTGTACCAAGATCTTGAGAATCAAAACTGTTGAGGACTCTCAGGCAATGGCTGTGACAAATATAGAAAGTTTCATATCTCTCAGAGGAAGGTTTGGCCAGTAAATTAGCAATCTAAAGGTTAGAGAGAAGTATGGATGGAACTAAAGCTCTCACACATCTGAACACCCATCTACTATCTGGAATTGCCATTTTGTTTTATGTTCAGTGCATTTTTATTGACTGGTAATGAAAGTCAGAGGGATCATTTGAGAAGGACCTTAGGTCATCCAAGATCAACAAGAAAAAACACAATAGTTAACTAAGCATGTCTGCCATGAATAGGCCAATGTTTGATAAAGCATGTCTGTCATGAGTAGGACAATGGTTGATTAAGAATGTCTGCCATGAATAGGACAATGGTGTGTACCATATTGGACCCTCCAGTCTGATAGTTCTATCTAGAAATAGAAAGTTTGTCCATACTTTAGAAAGTGATATTAAGAGGATTAACACCTGATGTTTGGAAGACCTTCTGGAAACATTTTCAATTCACTTTTACCTGAAAGGTGAGCTGAGCAAGGTAGGTCAGTTTATCACACTCAAAGAGTCCCCGGGTGGTGTACTGGTACACAGAGAAAGTGATGCTATCTATTAGATTGGCCACCCGCTCCTTGAGGCTCTCATTGGGAGCTGCCCTCTCCACAGCCTTTTGGAAGATGATGCTGAAGGCCTGGGGATAGAGAGTAGCATATTGGCAACTGACACAGCTGTCTTAACCCATATAAGTCGTCTTGCTCATTTTCCATCCCATAGAAACATTTCCTCAGATAAGACGGCCAAGAAGAGACAAGGTAATACGAAGACGTATTATTAGTTCTTAGTCTGCCCATATAAATTAGTATGTTGATAAGGCTACTATGGTCTCTATAGTTTGTCCCTTCAAAAACTCTTATTTAATCCCTATGATGAGGAATTAAGAGGGTGGAAACTTAAGATCACTGTGTCATTTACAGATGAGACCTTTGAAAGGTAATTAGAATTAAATAAGGTCACCCAAATCGACCCTCCGTCAGTGAATATACTCCCTTATTAGAAGGAGACAGACTAAGACATGTGAATTTCTCATCTGTACCTCAGGACTTTGCCATCAAGGCCATCACCAGAGATAGCCCAAAGACAGTGAGCCAAAATAGCTTCTTTATTAGCCCCATAATCACTAAATGAAATTAAACCTAGGGATTCACTGTCTACTCGTCTTTATGAATGGGATTTTTTATGAATGGAATTGCCTTAAAAAGGTGTGGTGATAGCAGATAGTAATACTCAAGTATGATTTCAAGGTGAAAGCCAACTTTCTTTGTCAAAATTCTTTAACACGTCACCAGATTTAGAAGCATTTATTTTCTTGACTTTACCCGTTTCTTCATATAAGTCAATAACTGGCTTTGTTGACTGAATACAAGTCTGAATTTGCTTTCCTAAGCCATCTCATCATCACTCTATGGCTAAACACTTCTTTTTCTCCCAAGGCATTGTTCAGTACAGATCTCATGATTACAATTTAAAAAAATATCCTTGGTCATCTCCTAACCTTGGCAGTTATTTTGGAAACCCATTAAGCAAGAATTTGTTTTTCTAAGTGTTGGACAACTACTGTTTGATACATTTTCATGCTCTAATAGATTGATGGTTATTGTCAATGCATAGTAGTTCTTCTTTAATATATTTTTCAATGATTTCTTTTCAATGGGCTCTTCCTTTCATCAGGACGTTCTCCTACAGAAAGGTGTGTGTGGCCACATTGGGTCCCCTTGTTGATGCCTGAACCATAGAGAACAAAAATGACCATTGGCTTCATGAGGTGGTGAGGTCAGGAAATAATGATCTTCATATCAGATGCTGTAATTACAGGCTCAGAACATGCCACAGCAGGTGGCAAAGTAGCTCAGCATAAACCACCATGTTCCTTGTTAACCAAACCCTGGGAGCTACTCTTCTTCGTTTTTTTTTTAATGTGCATAGCAAAACCTTCCGCCTAAGTTCAATTTGATTCATTGTGATGTTTACCTTTACTTGGAAGTTTTTAGATGCAATAATAGCTGTCTCCAAAGACCACAAAGAGAAGTGCAGGAAGCCTCTTATCTAGAGAACAAACTTACTGTGATGGAATGGACAGCGGTATCCAGGTGGTTGCTGTGTCTTTCTTCTAAAAAAATCTATCTTTATTGAAATGACACTGATCAATAAAGAAGCGTGAGTTATGAGCTTGAATATAATGATTCACAATTCAGAAAAAAGCCAAACAAAAAAACCAAAAAAACTTGGTGCTTTTTTTTTGTTTTTTTTTTTACTATTTTGTCTATTTTGGCTGCCTTTTTCATTTTCTATCCTAAAAAACAATCTCTTCCTTCTGGGGTGAGAACAGTGCTGGTGCCAGTACTGGGCTCACTTCCAGCACTTCTTCTACCACTATCCTGCCATGTAGTCTGGTTGCTGATACACGTTATCCTCCAGGATAGCATTTTTAGGGTTCAAACCCACTGCCTAATACTAATCACAGGAATTTATTTACTTATTTATTTATTTACTTATTTATTTATTTATTTGGTTCCAGTTGTGGGGCCTGAACTCTGGGCCTGGGCACTGTCCCTCAGCTCTTCAGCTCAAGGCTAGCTAGCGCTCTACCACTTGAGCCACAGTGCCACTTCCGGCTTTTTTCTTTTTGCTTATGTGGTGCTGAAGACTCGAACCCAGGGCCTCAGGCATGCAAGGCAAGTGCTCTACCACTGAGCCACTTTCCCAGCCCCAGGAATTTATTTTTTTACTTCCATAGAAATTAGCATAATCACACAGAGGCATGCCCAAGTTTTAGATTTCCCAAAGTCTAACTTAGGCCTTCCAACAGAATAGTGATTGAAAAATACTTGTTGAGTGAATGGTTTGATTATGCTTAGTACTAAGGGATTTAAACTCAAATACCTTTAGGAGACCAAAGAGGGAAGGGTAGGGACTTTCATAATGCAAGGGGTTCATGGCCACCTAGGGAGCAGAAGCTGAGCTGTAGCAAATTTATGTCAGGTGGCAAATGAGCACAGTGCTACCAATCTTGCTAACTTTCATGAGAAGTCAGACATTAGAAAGTAGATGAATTCTCCATCTTTCTCTCTCTCTCTCTCTCTCTCTCATCTATTCATCTATATATGTATGTATCTATGTATCTATCATGAATCTGTCTGTCTATCATCTATTCTTGTTGTTGTTCAGTTTTGGAGTTTGAACTCTCAGTGTGGACGCTGTTGCTAAGCTTTTTTGCTCAAGGCTAGTGTTCTGCCACTTGAACCAGAGCTTCATTTCTGGCTTTTTGGTAGTGTATTGGAGATAAGAGTTTCACAGACTTCGGGGCTGGGAAGGTGGCTCAGTGGTAGAGCGCTTGCCTTGCATGCCTGAGGCCCTGGGTTCGATTCCTAAGCAAAAAAAAAAAAAAAAAGAGTTTCACAGACTTTCCTGTTCCATCTGGATTTATACTACAATCTTCAGATCTCAGCTTCTTGAGTGGCTAGGATTACAAGTGTAAACCACCAGTGCCCAGCATTTTTGTTGTTGTTGGTCTTGCTGTCCCTGAACTCTTCAGTTCAGGGCGAGCACTCTACCACTTGAGCCACAACACCACTTCTGGTTTGCTTGTAGTTAATTGGAGATAAGAGTCTCATGAACTTTCCTTCTCCAGCTGGCTTTGAACTGAGATCCTCAGATCTCAGCCTCCTGAGATCCCACTGGCGCTTGGCCCAACATCTTTTTAACAGTATTAATATCCCCTCCCCCACCCCATCTGTCTGTTTGTCTGTCTGTCTCTCTATAGTTCTAGGGATAGAATCCAGAGCCTGGTGCATATTAGGCAAGTGCTCTACAACTAGGCCATACCATCAGCCTTATCTACTTCTTTTTCTTTTTCTTTTTTTTTTTGGGGGGGGTCCGGTCGTGGGGCCTGAACTCTGGGCCTGGGCGCTGTCCCTCAGCTCTTCAGCTCAAGGCTAGCACTCTACCACTTGAGCCACAGCGCCACTTCCGGCTTTGTTTTTTCTGCTTATGTGGTGCTGAGGAATCAAACCCAGGGCCTCATGCATGCAAGGCAAGCGCTCTACCACTGAGCCACTTTCCCAGCCCTCTACTTATTTTTCAATGTTGGTAACCAATTAAAGGATGTGAAAAGCCCTCTGAAGACCAAAAAGGCTCAAACAGGTCAGCAATACCTTGGGGCTCTGATTTGAACTCAGAGGGCTGTATTTTACTGCTTCTGCTTCTTCACTTCTTTTTTCTCTCATCTTAGATAAATGATTTCTTAGATTTCCCAGAGTCTAGCTTATGCCTTCAAATACAACAGGGACTGAAAAATATTTGTTGAGAGAATGGTTTGATCATGTTCTACTCATATCCTAAGAGTTTAGGAAAAATATGAGGGATGCTTGGGACTAAGGGATTTAAACTCTATGTTTAGGAGACCAAAGAGGGAAGAGCAGGAACTTTCACAATACAGAGGGCTCATGGCCACCTAGGGAGTAGCTATACCTGACTGTACTGAGAGAAGTTGGGCCTTCCTTCAATCTGTATGAGGCTCAGCTAGGCTTCTTCTCAGGGTACCATGTCACCTTGTGTGTGTGTGTCACATTAACTTGGCCAAAAGCCAGGAGAGGGTGTTTTCTAAATGCATTGTTGTTTTGTATTTCTGAAGACCTTCATTTGGTTTCTTATTGTTCAATCATTTTAAATTTGCTTTCAGTGATCAAGTTGGTCTATGAACAGTTGCCCTTAACAATATGGTGCCCAAAATGCATCGTTTCCAATTTTAAACTAGTCCTTCAGGGCTTTCTGTATTAGAATGTTATTATTTCAAAGTGCCTTAAAACTTATTTATTTAGGGGCTGGGAAGGTGGCTCAGTGGTAGAGTGCTTGCCTTGCATGCATGAGGCCCTGAGTTCGATTTCTCAGCACCACATAAGCAGAAAAAGCTGGAAGTGGTGCTGTGGCTCAAGTGGTAGAGCACTAGCCTTGAGCTGAAGAGCTGAGGGACAGTGCCCAGGCCCAGAGCTCAGGCACCATGACTGGCAAAAAAAAAAACAAACAAAACTTATTTATTTATTCATTTATTTATGCCAGTAATTAGGCCTTGAACTCAGAGGTCACATGCTCATTCAACTTGCTTGCTCAGGGCTGGTGTATAACCACCTGAGCCACACTTCCAAGCCCAGCTTTTTGCTGGTGAATAGAAGTGGAGTCTCTGTGGACATTTCTGCCTGGTCTGGTTTCATAGTATTCTCCAGGCCTTAGATCCCTGAATAGCTAAGGTTATAGATATCAACCACCAGAGTCCCACTCTTATAATTTATTTTGGACACACATTCAATTGATTTCATATTTTAAGAAAGAGTTAGGCTTCTGATAGATACAGATAGCCAAGTTCAACTACTCTAGGAACTAGAGAGAAGATCAAACAATGCTTAGGCTTATGCTAACATTTATACTGGCCTTTTAAGATCTTACAATTTAGCTGGATGCTGGTGGCTAACACCTATCATCCTAGCTACTCAGGAGGCTGCAATCTGAGGATCACAGTTCAAAACCAGCCTGGACAGGAAAGTCCGTGAGACTCTTATCTTCAATCAACAACCAGAACACTAGAAGTGGCACTGTGGCTCAAGTGGTAGAGTGTTCACCTTGAGCTGAGGAGCTCAGGGACAGCGCCCAGGCTGAGTTCAAGCCCTGTGACCTGTGACCAATCAAAAAACAAACAAACTACAAAAAGATCTTACAATTTTTTTCATGTGTTTCCATGACCTGCCTATAAAGCCAGGTATTGAGTTTCTTTCAAACACATCAACTACTATAAACATAGTTCATCCAGTCTTACTGGAGAGGGGTAGGCAGCAGTGAATTGCTATGTCCAGTTAAATGAGCCCTAGGTACTAGATTACTTCTCATCATCTCCACACCTTGGATTTCATGTATGTGATTTGGCTGGAAACATTTCACAGATCCGAGGTATATGCGGTGTGTGTGTGTAAATGTACAGACACACGTATATATGAAATCTCTGGTTGTTTATATGCAAATGTTCCTCTCTTGCCTTTCTGTTTGTATGTGTGCATGACCTCTCTGTTGGGTCAAACCGATGAAGCTATTCAGAAATGCTCCACCACCTCTGAATGCCTTTCTAATTATGGTCTTTTCATGAATGCACTGGGGATAAGATGTTCTTTGAAGACTTGCTTAAAATTTATAGGTCTTTATTTTTTCATGAGTCAGATAAATTTAGCCAGCACTTACAATTTGCTAACAGCTTTGGTTTTGGGACTATTTTAACAACTGTAAAGCAGTAGCTTTGGGGATATTAGTGTAATAAGAAAAGTAATTTAAAGTTGGTCTATTATGATCACCAGAGTTAGCCTTTCATCAAGATGAGCCATGTGCAGATTTTGTTTTCTCTGGAGGCAGAGATCACTAGTTATATTTCTAAGGTAACCTCTTTCACCCATCCAGTATGTATAGTAGCCACCATTTCTAATGTGGTAACGGAATGAATGGAGCCAAGACTTGTCATAGCATCCCTTTTTTCTCCCAATGAGTTATATATGAGCCAGTCAAAGAGATAAAGACTAAAGCATAGATCTGGAGCTATGTATCTGCTTTCCTGGCTTTGATCCTAAAGACTAGCCATAACTACTAAAGCACATAAATAAGCTCTCATGGAACACTAATGGGATATTATACCACTTGATTATGATTATTTGAAAGGCTCTAGGTTTAAGTCACCTTGAGGGAGAACTGGTACATTGGGTGGATCTTGCTGAGGTCATTCATGATGAAGTAGAGTAGAGAGGCGCGGGCAGCTGCTGGCCGATAGTGTTCTCGAGCTTCATTGATTTTCACTTCGGTCACCTTGGCCTCCTGAACCTGTTGGGAAAATAAGCAGTACCTCACTGTTAAAATCAACCAAAGATTCTGGAGAATCAGCATGGTCTCCCTGTGTGAGCAGGTATGAGTCTGCATATGCGATGTGGTGGAATGGGAGGGGAGTAGTAGCTGGATGCTTGACAGGCTATCATAGTAGTCTGGAAGAGAACTTGAAGGAAGAAGGAGATTGTACGCTTCTGCATATCAAAATGAACTTGAACTTGAACTAAAATGCCAACTTCCTTCCTTCATTCCCTCCTTCATTCCCTCCCTCCCTCCCTCCCTCCCTCCCTCCCTCCCTCCCTCCCTTCCTTTTCTTGTGGTTCTGGAGTTTGAACTCAAGGTCGTGCACTTGCTAGGCAGGCACTCTACCACTCGAACCACACCTCAGTTCTTTCCCTCCCTCTTTTCCCCCCCTCATTTTAATGCTGTTGGGGATTGACATTAGGGCCTTGAAGATGCTATGTAAATTTTCTACCTGTAACCCACACCCACAGTCCATTCTTAACTTTTGAGAAATAGTTGGTATCCATTCATAAAAAAATTCTGCAAAGTTTTCTGTTAGAAAACTTTATCACAAGCCGGGCGCTGGTGGCTCACGCCTGTAATCCTAGCTACTCAGGAGGCTGAGATCTGAGGATCATGGTTCAAAGCCAGCCCAGGCAGGAAAGACTGTGAGACTCCTATCTCCAATAAACCACCAGAAAACCGGAAGTGGCGCTGTAGCTCAAGTGGTAGAGCGCTCGCCTTGAGCTGAAGAGCTGAGGGACAGCACCCAGGTCCAGAGTTCAAGCCCCATGACCGATAAAAAAAAAAAAAAAAAAGAAAACTTTATCACAGATAAAAATAAGCAAATAAGCTGGGCACTACCGGCTCATGCTTGTAATCCTAGGTACTTAGGAGGCCGATATCTGAGAACTGCAGTTCGAAGCCAGCCTGGGCAGAAAATTCTGTGTGACTCTTATCTCTAATAAACTTCTCAGAAATAGCGGGCAGTGGTGTTGTGGCTCAAATGGTAGAGTGCTCTCCTTGAGCAAAAGAAGCTCAGCAATAGCACCCAGGCCCCAAATTCAAGCCTCAAGTCTGGCAAACTAACAAACAATAACAACACAAAAACCCCAAACAAACAAAAGCAAAAAAAAGCCAAGAGGCCTAAACCTCAGGAAGATGGATTTGTGTAAGAATATTCTACTAATTAAAGCTTCTGCCCTTCAACTAAATATAGAGTAAAACTACTTTTGAGAATCTCAGAGGAAAAGTACTGATCACCATCGACGATGTTCTCAAAATAAACTGTTACCAACCACAGGATGAAGTATTCCTGTGTTACTGAAGAGGGCAATTAGAAGGCCTCTCCACCCAACCCTAAGACAGGAGGATGGGGCATTATGAGTCCAGCTTGGGATACATAGTGAGACTCTGTATTAAGCAGTGAAAAACAAAACAAACAAAAATTGAACAAAACTCTTCCAAAAATAACCCTTTCCTAACACCAGAAGAGATAGCATTTATTTTATTTTATTTTATTTTTTGGTCATACATAGGCCTGGATGCTGTCCCTGAGCTCTTCAGCTCAAAGCAAGCACGCTTCCACTTGAGCCACAGCACCACTAGAGATAGCATCATAAACCCTAAAGATGATTGAAGAATCTTAAAGTAACCACTAATTAAGTATGCTTAAGAGCAATAAGCAGAAAAATAAGCATACAACATGACATTATCAAAAGAGGCCATCCTATTTCAAACAGAGCTAACTAAAACTTACAAAACAATGAAATGAAATGAAAAACTTAAATGAACAAGTAGATGGGTTAGAGGATAGAGTTGAAAAGAGAATATACTGACTAGAGAGGTCTGAGGAAACTGTTATAAAAGCAGCTCAGAAAGGAAGAAACCTAGCATATGACATTTGTGAGACTTGGAAGATAGGATGAGAACATTTAAATACATATAACAAAAACATGTAGAGAATAGATAGAATGAAGGAAAGACAGTGTTTAAAACTATAATAGTTAATAATCCTCCAAAATCGAAAATCAGAGACATTTTTGGGAAGAAACATCATTTATAAGCATAAGTGGAAAATATACACTCATTATCTAGTGAAATTTCAGATGATGAATTGATGAGAAATGATGACAAAATATTAAAAAGAACTAGAAAGAACAAAGTATTTTAAAAGGATTTCAATTAGACTGAAAGCAAATTTTCAACATCAATAACAAGCCATAAGATATATTAAAAATAATAACAGAAGATAGGAAAAAGCCATGAGTCCTCTAAACTCTTTACATTGTTTTAGAAGAAGTTGGATGTATTGCTTAATTTTAGGCTTCATTAAAATTATATTAAAGTTACATATTTAAAATGAAACACAGTTTTATGTACAAATAAAAGAATAATCAATAAAGTGAAGAGTGAATAGCTTTAAAATTAGCAAAGGATAGGAGAAGAGGGCTAAAGAAAATTCATTAAATTAGGGAAAAAGCCCAAATCCCAGTTAGAATAGCGATTTTCAAAAAGATAGAATAAATCCTGTCAAGGGTGGTGGAGAAAAGGGCTTCTTACTCAGTCTTTTTTTTTTTTTTTTTGGTTTTGGTCGTGGGCCTGAACTCTGGGCCTGGGTACTGTCCCTCAGCTCTTCAGTTCAAGGCTAGTGCTCTACCACTTGAGCCGCAGTGCCACTTCTGGCTTTTTTTTCTGCTTATGTGGTGCTGAGGAATTGAACCCAGGGTCTCATGCATGCAAGGCAAGCATTCTACCACTGAGCCACCTTCCCAGCCCCTTACTCAGTCTTAATGGGAAATGAAAATAACTATACTACCATGGAGAAGAATAGGGAGAAATCTAACAGGTACCATAAGATCTGGGTGCTCGTGGCTCATGTCTGTAATCTTAGCTGCTCAGAGGATGAGATCCAGAGGTCAGCATGAGCAGAAAAATCTGTAAGACTCCATCTCCAGTTATCCAGCAAATTGTCAGACTGGAGGTATGGTTCAAGTGGCAGAGTACCAGCCACGAGCAAGAAAGCTGAATAAGAATATAAGGTCCTGAGTTTAAGCCCTGGTGTCAACACAGATAGACATGCACATGCATACACGCATGTATACACACACGCATACACACCACATATGCATGATGTAGTCTAGCAATCCCATTTCCAAGTACTTGCACCATTATGTTACTGCAGCATTATTCATAACAGCTAAGCTATGGAATCAACCAAGATATCTATTGACAAAGTGTGTATGCGTAATGGAATGCCAAGCAAGTGAAAGAAAGAATAAAATTCCACCTTTTGTGTCAAAGTGAACAAAAGCCCAGGATATCATGTGAAATGAAATAAGCCAGACAGAGAAAGTTGTTCTGACTCATTTGTGGAAAGTTAAAAACTTGATTTCTTACAATAAGAGAATGGAATCATGATTGGTTGAGATGATCGCGGTTGGTTGTACCTCCCTCAGTGTGAGCTGGGTCTCTCTGGCCCAGGACAGCAGACTCTCTAAAGCAACTACGTTACAAACTCACATGCTTCCCTCTACAGACATGGGGGTCACAGATAAAACTTGGTGGTCACACAGCAGCTGTTGAGTTGATTCCTCTTTTCCAAATTAACCTGAGTTAATTATTCTAATATGTATGGCCAGGTCACTTGCTTTGTCCTTCCCCCAATCTCTTTCCCTTCCTTTCCCTTCCCTTCCTTTTCCCTTCCCTTCCCTTTCTTTCCCTTCCTTTCCCTTTCTTTTCCTCCACTCCCCTTTCTTTAGAACTGGGAATGGATCCAAGGGCCTCCTGTATAGGAGGCAAGAATATTACCACTAAGCTGAATCTCCAGCCCACTTTGCAGTTCTTCTATTTTGTCCCTACCTGGAACAAAACCTTTCATACTTGGAGAAATCTCAATAGATTGATAGTAGACATATGGTTCTAGACACTTATTGTTGTACACTATCCTAATCAGAAACAGTGCCATACTGGTTCTGAGAGTGCAGGACTGAGATCCAGAAGGCTAGTCTGTGGGGGGAAGGATGAGGAGCTGAAACCCTTCCTCATCAAAGGATCTCCTAGTTCCAAGGTGGGGTGAGAAGCCCTCCAAACACTGGAAAATAAAGAAACTACAAATCGAATTGCTTCTCAGCTATTGGGGGGGGGGCACTGAGATTTCCTGGGAGGTAATTGAAGTTTTCTCCTTGAAATGAGACTTGTAGCCAGATGCTGGGTGCTGATGCCTGTAATCCTAGCCACTCAAGAGGAGGCTGGGGTCTGAATGATCTTGGTTTAATTGAGGCCTGTCTGGGAAGAAAAGTTCAGAAATAAAGCAGGGTTGGAGGGATGGCTCAAGTGGTAAAGCACCAGCCTACCCAATATAAGATTCTTAGTTCAAATCCCATTACCTTAAATGAATGAATAAATAAATACAAATAGTGAAATCAGACTTGTGAGATTTTACTTTTAATCAATTCAGTGGGGTTCTCACTGGAAATGGGATAGAATCCCACCTAAATCGGTGTGATTACTCAGCCCTAGGGAAATTCACAAACTCTTCCAGGTTTTCAGTGTCTCCTGCACAGTAAGCATCCACACACCCCGCCACTCATCACAGGTCTGCAGGGTGGAGATGTCCAGCACTTTCCAGAAAGTGGGAGCTTTATGATGGGAGGTGGTCATTTCAGGAATCCTGACTAAATGGACTTGGAAGGACAGAAACTCTATCCTTTTTTTTTTTGCCAGTCCTGAGGCTTGAACTCAGCATGTGGGCACTGTCCCTGAGCTTTTTTTTTGCTCAAGGCTGCCACTCTACCACTTGAGCCACAGGCACCACTTTTGACTTTTCTGTTTATATGGGACTGAGAAATTGAACCCAGGCCTTCAGGCATGCTAGGCAAGCACTCTACCAGTAAACCTTAAACCCTTTCTCCCTCCTTCCCTCTCTCCCTCTCTTTCTCATCAGACTCAGGCATCTATAACAGAGAAAATGGCAGGTGGGCCAGCTTCTGTGGCCTCCCAGATTCACCCAAGTAACAGTACCTTCTCCTCCACCTCTGCGGCAGTCTGCTTTGTGATCTCTAGGTTCTCCACTAAGGCTGTTTCCCCCAGGAAGTTCCCGGATGCTGAGGAGAGGCGAGAGAGCAGGTTGTCTTCTAATGTTTTCAGTGTAATTTTGAATCCATTCTGCTGCTTTGTGAGCTCTGACTGCAAAAATCAACAAAGAAGGGGTCAGGTGCAGATGTCAGAATGTCTTACTTTCAAGACAGGTTTGACTAAACAAATCAATGTTCATGGGGCCAGAGTTTCTCCCTGTAGACAGAGAAAACTGGAGGTAAACAGCAGATTACTTGAGGCTGTGAACAGAGTTAACTGAAGAGATGGACAAGAGGAGTCAAACCTCAGCTAAACCATTCATAGTTGGCTTTAGTATTTGCTGGTTCTGTAAAGCCTCACATTGAAAACCATTAAAAATATTGCATGTGTAATGAATAGGAAAAATGCTTTCATTTGCTATAATTTCCAAAACAACATAGTATATACATTCACACTGTATTAGGTCTCACAAGTGAACTACAAATGGTTTTAAATATCTGGGAGGATGTGTAGGTTAAATGTAAGAATTATACTTTTTTTTGCGGGGGGTCAGTTCTGGAGCTTGAACTCTGGGCTCCTTGAACTCTTGAACCCTGAGATCTTTTTGCTCAAGTCTATTGCTCTACCACTTCAGCCACAGTGCCTCTTCTGGCTTTTTTTGTGATTAATTGGAGATAAGAGTCTCATGGATGTTCCTGCCCAGGCTGGCTTTGAACCACAGTTCAGATCTCAGCCTCCTGAGTAGCTAGGATTACAGGCATAAGTTGCTGGTGCCTTGCCAGACTACACACTTTTAAATAAGGGGCTTGAGCATCAGCTGATCTTGGTATCCAGAGGTGTACTGGGCCTTGTCCTCTACGGACACAGAGTATACTGTGCTGGACTTGAGGCCTTTGACTGGCTTATGCTCTTCACACATCATCAATCCTGCTGAGGTTATGACCGCTTCCTTCTCCCTGGAGTCCTGCCACTTCACAGAACTCATGGCTTTGAATAGAGGAAAGTACTAAGTTTTCCTTGTATAGAGCATCTTCTCTTTCATCACTGTACTGACCCAAGTGAAGAGCTCTCCCACGGATTCCTTAAAAAGAACAAACAGCTACTGTTGGGCATAGTTTAGACTATATCTGCCTTTTTCAGGCAGAAGGAGGACTGGTATGTGAGAGAGTCCCACTTCCTCTTTCCTTGTTGATGGTGAGGCTCCACTGGACACTTTTTATTTTTAGTTTAGAGGCTGAGGAATTGATTTCAGGCTTTATCTTCTTGCCCCTTTTACAGCCTGTTGATCTGTGGGAAGAACAACCCCAAACTATGTGTTGAGGTTTCAGCCAAAGGCTAATCTGGCTGTGTTCTATATACTTTTTTTCTTGAAAGCACATCTCCTTCCTGCCCTAAAAGACTAGAATTCACTATTCTCTTTGCTGGTGGTGCCCTGTGCCCAGATACCATTTATTTAGGAATCAATTCTAATGTCAACGTCTCATAGGATTTTTCACTGATCTCTATTTAAATTAGCCCTCTGGCTTTCTCATATGACCAGGTCTCATCTTCTTCAAAGTTCTTATTACCTTCTCTGTTTGCATTCTTATTTTCCATGCTCCTCTGCTAGACTGGAAGCTCTTTGTGGCTAAAGACACAGCTTTCCCTGGCTGCTGCTGAATCCTCTGGACTTAATACAATCTTACTTGTTATGGAGCTAGTGCTCCTTGGGTGTCTGTTCAACAGGTCTAAGGGAGCTTTGAACTTACTCTCACATACACTATAATCTTTATGCTTATATTCTCTAATATAACCAGGTTTAAAGAGAGGAAATAAAGCCAGCCACCTGCTGTGGACTCAATTGTGCTCCCCTCCAAATTTATATATTGAAGCCCTTCATCTGTAACGGAGACTGGAGTCTAGGGAGATGAACAAGGATAAATGAAGCCGCAGGGGGTGGAGCCCTGGTCTGATGGGATTCGTGCTCTTGGAAGAGATGCCTGGCATGCAGGAGAAGAAGTCACATGAGCAGGGCAAGGAGAGAAACCTTGCCAGAAACCAACCGTGCTGGTAACCTGACTTCAGTACTCCTGCGACTGTGGAGGCCAGCCACCAGACTATGGGATTTTGATATGATACTCAGAGGTGCCTAAGACATGACCCTAGCAGGACTGAGCCCATTTCTTATTACTCTTTCAAAATGTAATTCCATTCAGTTGTGGATGTTGGCCACCTGTGAGCATGTGCAATTAGAGGTTCCAAGCCTTTTGCCAGGCCCTGCTCTTGTGATAGGGATGTCTGTTTTCCCAGGTGGTCTCTCTGCTTTTGTCCTTCTCCACAGCCTCTCTTTCTCCTAGGTGTTCCTGGGTTATTCGATGGGGTTGAATCTCTGCCAACGTCTTGCAGAATCTACCATGCTTAGTCCTAGGGAAAGCATCCCCTACCTCCCACCAGTTCCAAGAGTGGTACACACTTCTATTGACAGAGCAATCCTTCCTTCCTCCTCCTCTCTTTGCATCTTTTTTTCCCCTTCTTCTTTTCTTCTTCCCTTAGGGAACACCCAACATACCTTCAGCTGCTCCAGGTCTGGCCTCTCCATGCTTACGACGGCAGCTAGCAGCTGATCCTCCAATCCATCCCTGGTCACTGTAAAGTTGATCAGGGTGGCCTGGGCCTGCAGCTCAGGCTGGTAGTGAGGGTTGGCCAACTTGGTGTGAAGGATGAGTCGGAACTTGGGATTGTATTCGCACTCTTTGTCTCCAATTTTAATAAATCTAGAACATAAAGGTTTAAGTGAAATTGGGGGTTCCTTCCTGTGTGATTTGGTCAGGGTCAGAATTTTAAGTATTTTTATTTCAAGATCATAACCAATAATGTTGCCATATTTGGATGGATTTTTCTCTGAGCATATCCATCATGCACCCTAGGACCCTACTTTATCCTAATAAGGGCTGAGAAGTATCATCATATATAGACTTTCTCCCTTGGCCACCATGTTTTTGATTTTGCACTGTGAAACTCCAGAGGTAGTCCATTGTGATCAATATAGGTTAGGAGACTATGAAAACCTTCCAGTAGATGGCAGTAAAGTGTTTGGAGGAAGGGGTATCTTCTAGTTGACAAAAAAAATGTGTTTCTAGGCTACCTATTATAGTTTATTTCTTTCCTTAAGGTTGAATGACTTCCATGTGGGGAAACAATTAAAAGTACAAGTGAGCATGGCTTCAAGTCACGAAGGGCAATTTAGGGCCCAGGCAGTGAGTAAGACTTCTGCTGTAGCTCAGATAGAGTTTGTTTCCCCCAAAGTTGGTGTGCTATACACTTAAGTCTCCAGTGTGATGGTACTGAGATGGTAGAGAGGGGGGACTTGGTTGGGAGATCATGAGGAAAGGATTAAGGATGTCACTAGAGGGTGGGTCAGGACTGGTGGGAATGGCTCAGTTACCAAAAGAACAGGTTGTGATGAGAAGCTCAAGTCTCTCGCTCCCTCTGGTCACATGATCTCATCTCACACGCACTCCTGTCATGATGGCATCCTGCATACTGTGGTGGCGTCTGAGGCTCTCAGCAGGTCTAACAGATCTTGGAACTATTATGTTGCTAACACTGAGTAGAATTAGGCTGATTTCTTTGTAAACTACAAAGCACCAAGGATCTTGTTATAAGCAACAGGAAAGAGACTTCAGATGGCCCCTGAGTCAAGGACGCCTTCATGAAAATGAGCACTTCTTACCAGGTGCGCTGATAGCTTTCTGTGCTTCCTCCGGGTCTCCCCTCCTTCACCTTTCTGCCTGGTACTTGCTAAGTCTGGGTTATCTACTAGCACACCAAGTCAACAGAGGTCCACCGAGGTGACAAAGAAACCATTCCTCAGAACTCAAAATGTTTAGCGTGGATAAAATGCCCATCTTGTAAAGGTGATGTACAGAGGGGTTACAGTTACGTAAGTAAGGAAGTGAGTACAATTCTTGTCGAACGTTGTTACCCCTTCCCTCATTCTTTCCCTCTATGCCCCTGATTCCCCTCCCCTCACAAGCTGTAAAGTTCATTCCCAACATAGTGTCTCATGAGTATTACCATTGCATTTTATTACTATTACCTTTGTCCTTTGTCTCACCATTTCTGTGATTTCCCCTTCCCATCTCCAAATCAGATACACTAATACACAATACAAAGGGCACCAAAATCCAAAACAGTGACAACAGTGGGTAAAAGAAAATCCACAAAAAAGCAGAGGAATAGGGAGCAAAAACAAAAATTGGGAAAGATAATGGCAAATAATTTTTAAAACATAATAAATGGTATCAAACTATAGACTCAAGTGTAGTACAAAGAATAAAATGATCCCCATGGACATTAGAGTAAATATGCTAAAAGCCAGCAAAATAGAGGGAAGAAGGATGAGCAAATGCAATCATTATATTCAATGTACATTATGCAAAAATGGAATGGAAAAGATGGGGGAGAACGGTAAAAGGTGTGGGATTCATCAAGATGCATTACACTGAGAACCTGACTTATGGGATTGTAACCTCTTTGTAAAAGTACTTAATAATAATTTTAATAATAAACAATAATTAATAACAAAAAATAAAAAAATAAAATTCTCATCTGAAAAGTCAGCTTTTTTGACCACTTGTTGCAAATTTCCTCCCAAATCACACCTAGTGGCCTTCTAAAAGGAGGTCAATGAATTGCTGAGGGATGCAAGTAAGGTTTATTCTAGCAAGCCTTCTCTAGGAGTTGAGGGCAGTTTCTAGCCCTCTGCTCCCACTGGAGGAAGCTGCCTGATAAAAGCTGAGGACAGGAGATTCTAGAAAGAGTGGACCTCCCCATAGTCCTGCCAGAGACCCTGATCTGAGTCCTCACAAGGGGCAGACACACATCCAAGTCTTACCGTCCTTTCTTAATAACTTCTCTCCCAAGAAGGGGGCCCAGCACAGGATCAATGGATTCCTCTAGATTTTCAATGAGCACCACATCTCCGGCCTCCAGGGCATGTTCTAGGGTTTGAAGGTAACTGGGGAAGCAAGCGGGCAGCATGAGTCGGTGGGAAGGTCGGATTCAGAGGCAACTTCATGAGGCGACGGTGGCCCCCAAGGCATAGTGGGAAACTTGGAGGCACAGAGATATTAGAAATGTCTTTAGAGACTACATTTTTCTCCATTTAAAGTGGCATTTATGTGGTTTTGTACAATTTTAGAAACGAGGAGAAATTGAACATAAAAGGGAACTATGAAAATGAACCATAATCTGGGGAGGGTGATTGAAAGGGTTACAATGATCAGATACATTTTACTCATAAATTGACATGTTCAGTTGAAACCCTTTATACAAATTCTTGAGGATAAGAATTTTAAAAAAGAAATAAAAAATCTTAATCTTTCCATTTACTATTAACAGGTTAGTTTTTAGCCAGGTGATGGCTCATGCCTGTAATTCTAGCTACTCAGGAAGCTGAGATCTGAGGATCACAGTACAAAGCCAGCCTGGGCAGGAAAGTCCATGAGACACTTATCTCCAATTAATCACCAGAAAACTGGAAGTGGCGCTGTGGATCAAAAGTGGTATAGCAGTAGCCTTGAATGAAAAAACCCAGGGAGAGCGCCCAGGCTCTGAGTTCAAATCCCATGATTAACCAAAAAAAAACCCCCAACAAAACAAAACAAAACCCAATTTAGCTTTTACTGTTTGATATTCAGTAGTCTTTTGGACACCAGAGGGGAATTATTCCAGGCCCCCAGGAATCCCCGGTCAATGGTTAAGTCTCTTTATGTAAAATGGTATATTTTTGTATCACCTGTGTACATTCTCCCATGATTTTCCATATAATGCCTAATACAATAGTTATTTTTCTGTATTGTTTAGGAAATAATGACAAAAGGCAAAAAATCTGCATATGTTCAGTACAGATGTGAGTTTTCCCAGGTGATTCTGAGGTATGATTGATTGACTGACTGGTTGAATCTAAGTATGTGAAACATGCAGTCAGAGAGGTCTGACTTGTGTTAGATTTTTCAAGCTTTGTTTTCCTACGATTGAACTCATAGCACTTTAACTGTGTAACCTAGTTTTGTACATGATAGACATTTCCTCTTGTTAAATATTCTCAAATAATTTTAATGACTGGATAGTTAGAGTGTATTTATATACCAGAATATATTTATCAATATGTTCCTAAAGATCTAGGTTGCTTTTAACTTTCTAGTGTTATGAAGAGTTTAATAAGCATGTTACTAGATCCAGGAATCCATTTTTAAGTTTGATATAATTCCAATTCATTGCTCTAAAATAATGATCAAGCTTTACAGAACTTGACCAAAGTTCTTAAAGTAAAATAAGCTAATAAGGGCTGAGAAGGTGGCTCAGTGGTAGAGCATTTGCCTTGCATGCATGAGGCCCTGGGTTCGATTCCTCAGCACCACATAAGCAAAAAGGAAAAAGCTGGAAGTGGCACTGTGGCTCAAGTGGTAGAGTGCTAGCCTTAAGCTGAAGAGCTGAGGGACAGCGCCCAGACCCAGAGTTCAGGCCCCACGACCGGACCCCCCCCCCCAAAAAAAAGAATAAAATGAAGATGTAAAGAAAATAAATTGATAATGAAGACAAGGGACTCATTATCTAGTTCTATTTTTAAATCTATCTATCTATCTATCTATCTATCTATCTATCTATCTATCTATCTATCTATCTATCTATCTATCTATCTAGTCATTTATCTGTCTCTCACCCTCCCTCCCTTCCTCCCTCCCTTCCTTCCTATGTATCTGTACTAGGGATTGAATCCAGAGCTTTAAACTTTCTAGGCAAGTATTATACTACTTGAGCCTTGCCTCCTGTTCTTTTGTTTTCATTTATTTTTTGTTTTTGAGATAGTGTCTTGCTAACTATATGAGTTGTTTTTCCTACTTCTGCCTTCTGAGGAACTGTGATTATAGATGTGTGTCATTATGCCTGGCTTAGTAATGAAATATTTTAGGCAAGTTCAACAATACAAAGAAATCAGATACTAAACAATTACTAGTATTTTTAACTGACTAACTATGGGTTTTCGTTAACTGTTTTGTTTGTAACTCCTTCCTCTATTTGTTTTACAATGATGAGGCAACAGAAAATGTTCCTAAATATAGAATGAAGTAATTAACAGCTAATATAGTATTAGATACATAGAAAATAATAAAGTTTAAGGAAAATAATATTGTAAAATGGCATTTCTAATTAACTGAGGAAAGAATGGAAAATTTAATAGGTGGTATAGTAACTAACCAGTTGGAAAATTAGTCTCATTTAGGACCTTAAATAAATTTAAGGGGTTTGAATTTCAATGTAAAAAGAAAAATTTAAAAATGTGGGTAAAGATTTAAATAATTTCTGGAGAAAAAAAAGCTTTTCTAAGAATGATCTGTAAAAGAACCACTGGGTATTAAATTTGGACAAATAATACCTATAATAAAATAAACGGCATTATGTCAAACCCCACAAGTAAAATGAAAAGACAAATGAGAGACTTGAAACAAATTTCCATTCATATGACTAAAGATTATACATATTACATGTAGTACAGTACTTAAATTCAAATAATGCACAACAAATCTAGAACACAACCCAACAGAAAAAGAATCAATGTACATGAATGGAGAATTAACTGAATGCATATTTATGAAAGGCCTATGATGTGTCAGGAAGTGTTTAAAGTATTATTGATGTAGCACTGAGCAAAAAAAAACAAACCAACAAACTATCCCCCTCCCCCAGCTTCTGTTTAAAGTGTTCTTAGCCACCTAGAAAGAACTAGTTTAAGCAAAGTTTGGGAAGAAGGCCGGTGTTAGATTATTCTGTGACTAAGGCATAGATAAAAATACAGCATGTGATACCTGGGTGTTCATTTCTTGAGAAAGTTTGCTCTGAAAGAGGGATTCACTTTTATGATTTATAATTATATATAATTCTGTATTGTATAACTATACAATACAGAATTATATATACATACATACACTCAAGTACTTGAATGTGAATTCAGGAACCTGCTTGCTCATAGCTGGGGCTCTATCATTTGATCCAGGCCTCTAGCTCAGCCTTTTGCTGGTCAATTGGAGAGAGAATCCTCATACTCCTTTCTTATGGTTCTTTATCAAATATGTCATAGGTTATGGTGAACTAGGAATCCTCCTATAGATAGTGCATGGTTTGTAATGGGTAGGAAAAGAAAAGGCTTGGTATCTAGGCATGCTTTGCTGAGGTATTTCCTAAACCCAGAGGAGATCCATGAAGGTTACCTTGTGGATAGACATGGAGAAAGAGAAAAACAAGCTGCTAGGGTTTAGGATCTGCTCCTTACATATTTTTCCTCTTCCTGCACAAAGGGCATATGCTGTAGCATTTGTGCTTGGGCACTCACTTACCCTTTCTGACCAATCTGGGTGACCCGGAGGTCTTCTCCATATTTGTTTTTGATCCATTTGATGCCTTGCAGCTGAGGGTCCACCATGAGTGGCCAGCGCTCACAGTGGATGAGGATGGTGGCATTCTCCATGGACATGCGGTCTGCAGGGAGGCCCTCGTTCTGCCAGGCAGCCACGTTGGCATCATCCGTCAGCATCCGCAGGGGATCCAGGGCTGGGGCGATGGGAATGGCAACCTGAGGAGGTGACGCATGCTCAGAGTGGGTGACTGCTGCCTCATGATCTCACACAACTCCTTTAAAAGCAAGATTAACATCCTTCTGAAGGCTGCTTTCCTGGCTGCGTGATTATTCCTAGAAGCCTATTGTGTTAAAACTCATGATAGTCTCCCCGCTCCACCCGGCTCTGGATGGATGAACAACAGAAATTCAGTCTAGGTGGCCACCTCTTTGCTTTTTATCTAGGGGCCCAAATCAAGTTTCTACTAGAGATTACTTATATTTTTACTTGCAACCTCCAACATACCCTCAGCCATGTGCACATTTATTTCTCTGCTTCATTTCTATTTCTCATGTACGCTCCCACAAGTTCTGAGAAATCAGCCCTTAGGGGTTTCTGGTCCTGGGATCACAAATGTATTCTGATACATTTCTCTGTTTTAGTATGCACAGAAACAGTCATCTGAGCAGGAATTCAGAAGCTTTACCAGACTGCTTGCCATGGATTGAATGTGTTCTCCAAACACATGCCTACTGGTAGTTCTCTGCTGTGGGTGCCAGCCCACACAAACCATTCTGTCCCTTATCTGTTTCAACAGTTTGCCAACCTCTGGGTAAGCTTGCTTTTCCCTGCCCCAATCTTCCACTGCCAGGCTGCTTGCAGGGCCCTCTCTTCCCCTGCCCCACCCAGCAACTCCCCTGGCTGGTGCCTTCAGGAAGCTGGCTGACATTTCCCAGCCCTGAATGCTACTCATGTCCTTTCCTGTGTCCCCACAGGGCTCCTGATGTGTGCTAGACTTTCCCTTTTCTTCTCTTTTGGCCTTTGTCAGCTCACTAAATTCTCCTATAAGCAATCTTTTTTCACTGATGATTTATATACTTCAAAAAATAAGAGAAAATGGCCAACATAAAATGCACCACTTTCAGGTGCACAATTTGGTGGCATTTTGTTCATTCTCTATGTTGTACAACCATTAGCTCTATCTACTTCCAAATGCTCTACCTACTTCTCAAGCTGGGTGCACTGATGCACATTTATAATCCAGGAAGGCTCAGGAAGGAGGATCTAAAATGTGAGGCAAAGATAAAAAACTCATCTCAAACACAAAATGTGCAGGGCATGGGTAAGGTGGTAGAATGCTTGCCTAGCATCCAGGAAGCCATGGATAAATCTCAAGTACCAACAACAATAACAACAAAAAAGCACCCAAAGTAAATCAAGTAAAGACAAAAAACAAATGTACAAAGAAATAAAACAAACCAAAAAGGAAAAAGGACTGGAACTTTATACTCATCATTCATTTTCCATTTTCTTCTCCAAACTTTTGGCAGCTGCTAACATATTTCTCTGGATTTTCCTATCCTGGACATTTAATATAAATGAGAACATACAAAATATGACCTTTTATGTCTGACTACTTTCAATCAGCATCATGTTTTTGAGATTCAGACACATGCCTTTTTAACCTCTTCATCTCTTTCATCTGCGCAGTTTGTATTCCTCAGTATACCTCAGGAAAACTCTCTAAACCACTTCCTGTCTCACCCCCACTTCCTTTATGTGGCTGCTCAGGGTACAAATAGCAGATGCTGCACCATCAAGCAAATCTCTAAATGGGAATCAACACCATTGGGAGTTCTTATTCTGGGATCAGAAATACATCTGGATATGTTTTCTTACCTTTGAGTTTATTTTTGCTTTATTATTATTATTATTATTTTTTGGGTCCAGTCGTGGGCCTGAGCTCGGGCCTGAGCTCTGGCCTGGCGCTGTCCCTCAGCTCTTCACCTCAAAGCTAGAGCTCTACCACTTGAGCCACAGCGCCACTTCCGGCTTTTTTTTTTTTTTCTGCTTATGTGGTGCTGAGGAATCGAACCCAGGGCCTCATGCATGCAAGGCAAGCGCTCTACCACTGAGCCACCTTTCCAGCCCCTATTTTTGTTTGTTTTATGCACTAAAAACATTATTCTGAGCAGGACTGCATGGGCTTTCCCAGATTGCCCGTAATGGTTTGAATGTTTTCCCCAAATCTGTGTGTGAAAAACTGAATGCCCAGGGCAAGGATTGGAAGGGGGAGCCTAGTAAGGGGTGACTAAGCCGTGAGGAATCTGACTTCCCCAATGGCTGCTGTCTTTATTGAGGAAGTGGGTTAGTTATCAAGAGAGGAGGTTTATTTGGTAATCTCTTGCTCCCTGGCTCATGCTCATGCTTGTTCTTCTGCCTGCCACAGGAAAGCCCTCACTAGATGCTGGAGGTGAGTTCTCCAACTTCCCAGATTCCAGAACTGTGATCCAACTAAATCTCTGTTCATGATAAATTACTCACCCTCAGGTATTCTATGATAGTAGCTGAAAACAGACTAAGACACTGAGAAACAAGTCTGTGGTACAAAAATATGTAAGAGCCCCCTACAAAGCCAGAAATATGCTCAATATTCTGCTAGTTAGTAACTCACTTTTTCCCTCGGTTGTACTTTCAATGATTTCTTTTTCCCACACATGGTAAAGATGAAAGAAAGTACTGCTTAACTAGTGTTGTTAATATAACTAGCTCACAATACTTGTACCATTATGTTAGTATCAAGTTAATCAGTACCCCTAGGATTCCTAGTACTGTATTTCAGTTTTTAAACTTCTGTTCAACAAATAATCAGCTTTTTGAGCTTTCCTGGGAAACTAACCATCAATATGAAAAAAAATGCATGTTTCGTTTTAAGGATCCTCATTTCTTTTCATCAAGTTTTGGAATATATATATCACACAACGTATAGGGTGAACTCTCTGTGTGGGCTCTTCCTGTAGCTGAGTATTATGAACCTAGTCTTGTCAGCTGGACTATCAGTGAGCCAAAGGCATTCTGTTCTTGGATGTCTCTTGTACTTTTTTTATATACATGATATATATATATATATACACATACATACATACATATATATATATATATATTCTTTTTTTTTGTCAGCCCTGGGACTTGAACTCTGGGCCCTGGGCACTGTTCCTCAGCTCTTTAGTTCAAGGCAAGTGCTCTACCACTTGAGCCACAGTGCCATTTCTGGTTTTCTGATGGATAATTGGAGATAAGAGTTTCACAGACTGTTCTGCCCGGGCTGGATAACTGTGATCATCAGATCTCAGCCTCCTGAGTAGCTAGGATTACAGGTGTGAGCCACTGGAATCCAACTACACATGGTATTTGTGGACTGATGATCAAGAGCAATGAGAATAAGCTGAGTGAGTATCAGAAATATTCTGAGCAGAAGATCCAAGTGAAGGTTGACATCTGTAATCAGGAGTTAGCATTCTCTACTTGGTTACATTGCATAGAGTGATATGGTGGGGAGGAGTTGGGAAGAAAAGTTAACATGGAGAAAACAAGCGGCACAATGCATGTAGAAAGCACCTGACTTATGGTAGGGGAACTATATAATGGTGTCTCTGAGTTGTGGGCACAAATTAGGCAGCTTTGGGACCCAGTAAACAAAGTGCAGTAACAGAGAGAAGGCGAACTTCCCTGACTACTCCAATAACATTTGACTCTAGGACAGAGAGATGTTTTGATGTCTTTAGATGGGTGTTATAGCTTTGAGAAAAGCCAGGAGACAACTTCTGGCCCAAGACCAAGTTTCCCATGGAGAACCTCATGAACAAGTATGGGAGTCTGACTTTGGGTGGCTTAGAGACCCACAAAGCAATGCATGTACCAGGACCTAGGTGGCGGCAGTGATGATGCAGGAGGGTTACAGATTGAGATAGGAGGGCCATAGGATCTCATGGGTACCCACCAGCTGATGGGTATTACATACCGTCAGCTGTCTCAGATAGGGTCTCCAGGTTCCATCCATGAGGCTCTGCCGGTATTTCTTTGTAAAGAAGCCAAGATAGGAAATGAAAGCCGTGGTAAGCAGAATGTCTCCGCATAATGTCCTTTCCTGTTGTTTGAAGTTCTGCACTGCTTCTGCCCATCTCACGTTTTCAGAGGCGAGTCCTCCAACCTACCGTCACAAAGGCAGAGAGGAGAGTGGAAGTGTTGTACCTCAGGCAAGTGAGCTATAGCTTTAGTCTCAGGGATTACAGCTGGACATCACTGGTGCAGCCCATCCATCATAGGGGAATTTGTCTAGCAAACAAGTCCTTGTTGTATGTGCTGTGCATTATGTGGGCCACAGAAAGATGACAGGGGATTGAAAGCAGACTGCCAGGCTCTGCCCTTTCTACATGGGGCAACTGACACACCCACTGCACAGAGGTGCAGAGAGGGTGGAATATGATCTTGTTAACTACTTAGTACAATGTCATATCTGTAAGATATGCTGGAAAATTAGGTATCCCTCCCTTTGCTCTGAATGCTGTGGAGATGAAAATAAAGCCAAGTCTGTCTACTATAAATAATTTACCGTGAGTGGGGATGTAGACATGGTAATTTCAATGGCATTGGACACTATAAGGCTATGGGTGTGTACAAAAATCTCACAACTACAGAACAGCTTCTAACTGGCCCAGCCCATAGTAGAATGGTAACCCTCTTTCTATGAAAGACTACTAAGTTTATTTTGTTGCTGTGCTGGTGTACTGGGGCTTGAACTCATAGCCTTGTGCTCTCATGTTGCTTTTGGGCTCAAGGTTGGCTCTCTATTACTTGAGCCATACCTCCTCTTCTGGCTTTTTGTTGATTAATTGGAAATCAGAGTCTCAGGAATTTTTCTGCCTAGTCTGGCTTTGAACTGTAATCCTCAGATCTCAGACTCCTGAGTAGCTAGGATGCAGTCATGAGACACTAATGACTGGTTTACAATAGGCACTGCTTGATTACAACAGAGCTTTTTTTTTTTTTTTTTTGTCAGTCATGGGGCTTGAACTCTGGGCCTGGGCACTGTCCCTCAGCTCTTCAGTTCAAGGCTAGGGCTCTACCACTTGAGCTACAGCGCCACTTCTGGTTTTCTGGTGGTTTTTATTGGAGATAAGAGTTTCACGGACTTTCCTGCCTGGGCCGGCTTTGAGCCAGGTGTGAGCCATGGACGCCCGGCTAAATGTTGGATGTTTGAGAACAATGGCTCTGATAAACAGCCTACTCAAGACCTGACAGTGTATGCATATATGTGTATGGACCAGAGAAGGCCTTAAGAGACAAAGATAGCTTTTTATAAGCAAAATCTGGAGTTCTTACCTATGTTATATTTTGATAATAAAGGAGTGACCAGGATTAGGAAGTGAGATGGGAGCTTATCATGAACATTTCTGGACATGATATCACGCATGCATGTACACACACACACACACACACACACAAACACACACACACGAGAGGAGAGAGAGAGAGAGAGAGAGAGAGAGAGAGAACACATCTGAAGGCCTGAGGAATGTGCTTGTGTTGCAAATGTCCCTTGCTGCATAATAAATTACCCTTAAAACTTAGTGATTTAACCATTGCCCTGCATTTACAAATCTGTGGGCCAGGAAGTTCAGAAGTCCAGTGCTTCTACCCCATTACTGGGAATCACTCAGGGTTATCTAGCCAGCCGCTGACTTAAGCTGGACAGCCCAGGATGACTCTTTTGACCTTGGCAGGGTTGGTTGGCAGGGTGGACCCAGCAGGATTGCTCCATCTCTATGGAGTCTCAGAGCCTCTCCATGCCATCTCTCCAGCAGGTTAGTCAGGACTCCACAAGCAAGTAAGTGTCCCAAAAGGTAAGATGCATAAAGGTCTAAGTCCTTAAAGCCTGGGACACAAACCCAGCACAGTATCACTTCTGTTATATTTAAAGAAGTCACGCATTCAAGGGGAGACAAATAGCTAGACATCAACCATTATTATTGGTTCTTGGAGATAGGTCTCATCCTATAGTCAGACTTGCTTTGAAATTGAGATCTTCCTGCCTCTATTTCCTGAAGTCTTGGATGACAGGCATGTGTAATGTTGACTACCTTTGATATCAACTCTGAGAGTGGTGTCAATAAATCCGTGGCCTTTTTCAATCCCCTGTGGCTTATATTTCTCATGCCTCTATCAGCTAAAGTTGTGCAAAAAAATAAATAAATAGAAGTGTCTACTGGATATGATTTCTCTTGACTCTGGAGCCTTCTAACACCATCCTCACCAGTGAAGAGAAACACAATTCCTTTTCATATTTATCTCAGCCACTAATTATCTACATAATAAATCCATACATACAAATATATATTTTTTAACTTCTGGAGGAATGACTCATAGTCATCACTGATCTGAGCCTTGTTGTGGTGACAAAAGGCCGTACCAGGAAGGTATGGCTGTGAAGTTGTGAGGGCAGCAGCCATGCAGCTTTGAGATTATGTATGTAAGCTGAACAGTTTGGTTTAGAAACAGCATCCTTGAAAATGCCATCCAGGAGGCCATCCAGACTCCTCTTGCTAGCTGCCTTCTCTCCAGCTCCCTGCTCAATTTGCATAAGTCAGCTGAGCAGTCTTTGTCTTTCTGGAGCATCATCCAGGTTGGTTCTCACAGGAGGCAGAATGACAACTCATTCTCCACGTGCAGGCTTTGAAGACACCTGTCTCTAACAACAGAGATTCTGGAGAAGATATTTATACTTTCCTGATCTCATCTAAAAGTAGGAGTGGCACTGGTTGGGTTGGCAAACCTGTCAGAGCCCTCCCAGCAATTAAATTTTACTTCACCCAAGGAAAGAATAAAGAATAAGTTCTAACATATAAGATAAGCTTGGAGCTGGGAGCCGGTGGCTCACGCCTGTAATCCTAGCTACTCAGGAGGCTGAGATCTGAAGATCATAGTTCAAAGCCAGTCCAGGCAGGAAAGTCCGTGAGACTCTTATCTCCAATTAAGCATCCGAAAACCAGAAGTGGTGCTGTGGCTCAAGTGGTAGAATGCATACCTTGAGCTGAAGAGCTGAGGGACAGCGCCCAGGCCCAGAGTTCAAGCCCCATGACAAAAAATTCCAACATTTGTATAAGAAAACTGAGTGAGCATTTACACTTTTTTTGGACCACTATCCCTGCCTACCTGCACATTTTTCATATCCTCCTTCCAGCCCCCGAGTCAAAGCAATGCTGAGCTTTGCTCATCTATTTTTCAGCTCTGGGGCTTTTGACAAGCACTGTTAATGTAATCAGAGCTCAGACCGTGGGGCAAGCACTCACCAGACGGTTTGCAAGGGAGATAGTGCCTGCAGTCATTTCAGCTTCTTGCTGGCATTTGAGTTTCTCTGCTGTTGCTTTCTCAAACTTGGTGGTCAGCTTTGCCAGGTTCTCGTTAAGGTGCTGTTTAGAAAAAGGGAGTACAGAATCAATAATTCCAGCCCAAGCCACCACCTACAGCGCTGCTGGGATGAAGAGTTCATGTGAAGGTGATCTTGAAGTCGGGAGCAGCTTGTAGGCTCATTGAGCAGGTCAATGAGATTTAGGAGCCAAATTTGGGAGAGGTGATCTAAGGTAGAGTCCCGGGGGAGACATGAGCTTCATCCTGCAGGAGAAGTGTGAGGTGGAGACCCAAAGGTGTCAGATCCAAGGAAAGAGTTGAGCTTCCATACTCTGACTCCTTGCTCCTCAGGTAAATGGGCATAATTGGGGTTGGGGAGTATTGCACCAATCTTTTCCTGCTACTGGGGAAAATGGGTTCCAATGGTCTGAAAAAAAATGGTATGAGTGCTGTTGTTAGGAGCATCAAGCTTATCAAAGGTTGGGAGAGAACTCTCAAGAGCTTTGGAGTGCTGGACGATCCCTGACTTGTCTCTGCTCTGTGGCTGGTCTGGGGCAGCACTGTCAGAAACTGAAGTCCTTGGCTGCAAGTCCCAGTATGATGTATAGGAACATTTTTAGGGCTTGAGCTTAGAGCCCGAATGCTGTCCCTGAGCTTCTTTTGCGCATGGCGAGTGCTCTACCACTTGAGCCACAGTGCCACATCCAGGGTTTTTTTTTTTTTTTTCCTGAGTAGTTTATTGGAGATGTGACCATTCCTGTCTGGGCTGGCTTTGAACCACAGTCCTCAGATCTCAGCCTCCAGAGTAGCTAGGATTACAGGAGTGAGCCACTGGCTCCTGGCAGATTTTTTTTTTTTTTTTTTGTATATCAAACTGAAGCACGTAGTATTTGTTTCCCTCAGAATACATAGCTTCACCTTAAAATACACATGGGCACACAGCAGATGCCTTGAACACTGCCACATATATGCAAATAACTGAGGTTTAGTTGGCCATCACTAAGATACAGAAGAACAAATACAAGACCAAGTTCATAAAGCAAAGCAGTTTAGAAAGCAGGTGTGGCAAGCTATTCAATTAATAATGGCAGACTAGTCACCCTTAGTTACCTCTTCTTCCTCCTAAGCCTTCTCTTAAACTAATTGTGAAGCAATTATGAACCTGTAAGTCTCTAAAACTAAGCAAAATAACCGGGCCATAGAGAATGAGGGATCTCAATAGATTCTGAAGGGCCATATAATGACAACCGTCATGCACCCAGCATGAGTCTGCTGAAAGAAATGGAGGAGGGGAGAGAGCTGGAGCAGCTTCCATGGTTCACCAGAGGGGGAGGTAGTCAGCCTGAAGAGCCTCACATAAACTGGAGATTTTGGAAATGGTGGGTGGGTGGGACTAGAGGAAGCTGATTGGAAGTTCCTTGGCTCTCGCATATCTCCATCTATGTGTTCAATGTGCAATGCGACCAGGCATTATTCATTCTCTTGTGAGTAGTGGTAGAGAAAAGACATCACATTCTGGTACTTAGGATTCATTCAGCATAACTCCTTAGATCCTGGAAATATATCTCTTCAGAAAGTCAGCTCTGCTTTGCCCTTACCTGCAGAGCTGTCGTCAGCTTCTGATCATTGCTCTCTTAAGCATAAAAGAACAAGATAAAAATGAAGCTGAGATTAAGGTAAAGAGGAAAAAAACCCCAATGACCTGGGAAAAAGATGTCACTACAGTCAATAGAACAGTAGCACGGGAAAGGCTCACAAGTCATCTCCCAGAGAAATGCAAGATGCAAGAGATGCTTAGAAGAGATACAACATGTGTCATCCATAAAACAAAGAACAAAATGCCATTAAGAAGAGAGATCAGAGAAAATACTGTGGGACTTACCATTACTGTCTTATTGATGGGGAAAATAATACATTTGGTTAAAAGATGAATTTGAGGAAATATCCTCAATATCAGGAAACAAACAGTGACAAAAAGGGTATGGACTAAATTAGGAGGAACAACCTCTAATCAAGATGCATTTTAGAAGATAAGATTAGAGCCCGGCCCTGGGAGCTCATGCCTGTGATCCTAGCTACTCAGGAGGCTGAGTTCTAAGGATGAGGGTTCAAAGCCAGCCTGGGCAGGAAAGTTTGTGAGACTCATCTCCAGTAAAAAAATGAGAAGTGGCACTGTGGTTCAAGTAGTAAAGCACTAGCCTTGAGCATTGGAGAGGCTCAGGAACAGAGCCTGGGCCCTGAGTTCAAGCCCCAGGACTAGCAAAGAAAAAAAGATTAAACAGAAAACAAAAGAGATACTGCCAAATAAATCATTTAAAATGATTATGCAGTGTAGAAAATAAATCTGCATATGTCATGAGGAATAAGAAAAGAATGACAGCTAAACATATGAAGTTACAGATATGAAGGGTAAAGGGAAGGTTGAAAGACTTCCAGAAAGCAAAGAAGTACATTCATAAAGGAAAGAAATGTACAATAATGGTTCATTAGATTTCTCATCAGACAAGTGTTCAAAACATCCAGTGTTTCAAGAGAGAAGTTATCAACTCATAATTCAGTACTCAGGCTGGACCTGGTAGAATACACTTGTTATTTTATTTTATTTATTTATTCTTATTGTGAAAATACCATACAGAGGGGTTACAATTACATGAGCAAGGTAATGAGTACATGTCTTATCAAGCATTGTTGCCTCCTCCTTTGTTTCCCCTTTCTATCCCTTCCCATCCCTTCCCATCTCTCCCTCCAGCCCTCCGCCCTGGCCCCATTCCTGCCCCCCCCCCCCGCCCCCCATCGCCAAAGTTGTAAACTTCATTTTTTGACATAATGTCTTGTACATCTCATTGTTGCAATGGGTCTACCTATATCCCTAATTTAATCCCAGAACACTTGTTCCATTTCAGAATAAAATAAAGATGTTTCTAGACTATAATGACTCACAAACTAGCTTTTCACTTTATTTTACTAAAAATGTTACCTGAGGATGAACCACAGGAAAAAAAAAACCTAGACAGGAAGAGGCACCAGAAGTCACTGAAATTACTTAAAAAAAATCAGAAATCCTTGTGTTTGCTCCGACACCGAAGACAAGGAGAAAGGTCTAAGGAAAAAGCCTTGCTGGAATATTGGATTGAATGGAGAATATAGGAATAATAGAGGCCATACAAAAGGAACCAATGGAAGAAGAAAACAATCAGAAAAGTAGAAATTCCAGGAGGGAAAAGAGTTGTACAAATAAAGAAGCATAATTATATAGTGTATCACTCAGAGCTGCTGTGAATAATATAGACCTGTTTGCAAAATAGAAATGGAATTTATTGGCGTCTCAGTGTCATGAATTGGTCTAAGGACAGAGCATGACTCCCTAAAATTTTGATTAGAGAAAACAACATAGAGGTTTCTAGACTTGGCCATTGTAAAAACAATAAGTCATGACAAAAGAAGTTGAGGCTGGGAATGTGGCTTTAGTGGTAGCGTGCTTGCCTAGCTAACATGCATGTAGCCCCGGGTTTGATTCCTCAGCACCACATAAACAGAAAAGGCCAGAAGTGGCACTGTGGCTCAGGTGGTAGAGCAAAAGCAGCTCTTTGAGCAAAAGCAGCTCAGAGACAGTGCCCAGGCCCTGAGTTCAAGCCCCAGGACTGGCAAAAACAAAAACAACAAAAGCACAAAATAAAAACAACTAAAAGAAATTGGGAGGTAGAAGAGAGAGCGCGAGAGCAGACCTGAAGTTGGGGAGATTAACCATTATCATCTTTAAGGCTGATAGCTCCAGAGAAACTACCTGAATGCACAAAAGCAATAAATAAAAGTGTTGTCATCTGAAACCAATTGCATAACTTCACTGTGCAGACATAGGAATAAACAACTTGTGGGTTCATTGAGCTAATAGTAGGCCGTCTGCATAGGATTCATGAAGAAATGGAGCTCTCAACTTCACATATGGACGAAAGTTAGAAATTCAAATGAGCAGAAAGAGGAGGATGATATAAATGAGTCGAATATGTTTCCTATTGAAAAAAACAGTTGGGGCTGCTGGGAGCTCATAGCAAAACTCAAACAATGACTCCTTGAAGGAGAGCCCCCTAGAAACTTCAAGGACAGTAAAGGATGTTCAGGCATCTTCTGATTAGAGTGGCTGGGAATCAGACTTTTTACATAACAGCGATTAATTAAGCCATTTATAAATACTCTATGTAGGCTAAATAATGACAATGAAGCTACTAGGCAGTTGGTTCTTATGTGGCCTCAATAATCAACTAAAGCAGATAAAAGAATTAAGAACCCATGAAAAGCCCTTGTCTACTTACTGTTCGCTATTTTACTCTATGTGGGATTGTAATGCAAAATGCATTACTTATTCTCATGATTACTTTTTATAAATTGTAGCAATAATTCATCATTTGTTAGATACGAACAAAATACAACACAATCACAATCATTACAACCCTCCCCTCATCAAAAAAAAAAAAAAAAAAAGAAAAGGAGCCATCATGGAGTATTTAGCTAGGTTGAGCAGATTCTGGGTTTGATCCCCAGCACGAAAAGCAAAGAGGAAGAAAAATAAAGACAGTATAGAAGAAAAGTAAACAGAAACCAAATCTTTTACTATCCAAAGATAATCACCACCTTTAACATTTTCATACATTTCCATCTTATATAAGCATATAGAAATTCTAGTGATCAATCTGGCTTGTTATAGATTCCCCTCCTTTATGTGTTTGAACACAACATTTTTACTTGGAATTATCTTAAAAATAGGGTGCACATGTGTGCACAGGTGTGCACATGCATGTCCATGTGGATGCCAGTGTGTGTGTATTCATGTGTTCATGTATGCGTGTGCAAGTTTGTGTGTGTGCAAGTTTGTGCGTGATGCATGTGAGTGCAGATGGCTGTGATGGCTTCAGGAGCACATGCGAAGGCTTTTCTTGTCTTGGGCACCTTTCTTGCTAGAGATGGTGGTTTGCCCTTCTCTTTTTTAATAGTAGAGTGTTCAAAGCATGGAGAGGAGGTTGTTAAAAGCAAGAATACATTTTCCCCCCAGAAAATATTTTGGCAGAAAAGTAGAGTCTTCCTTAAGGTAGCCAAGTATTTTAAAGATATCCTTCTTGCTTTCACAGGTTGAGTGGGCCCATCAGTGAATGTTGGCTACTGAAAAGGTATAAACATTTTGCAAACATTTCCTTTGCACCAAATGTTTCCTTTAGTTAAAATAACTTCAGTAAAGAGTCTTTGAAAATTCAATTCTTGTCAAGTTTTATGGAAGAGATTGAAGAACATGAAAATTATTGAGAGGTCTTTCACTGGAACGTCTGGATTTACAGAGTAATGTACCGAGAGAAGTAACTTTATTTTCCCCAAAGTGTCTTTGTAAAATAGAGGTTGGGTGCAAGGGTCTTCCAACTAGAGCCTTCAGTCACAGACTTTAACAAACAACAAGCTTGTATCACAAGATGAATGCCACATGTCTACAGTCCTACTTTCCACAATCTACAGAACTATTATGCCAGATGTGCAGTAAGATTCATCTTTGTCTGGACTGGCTGCATGGTAATTAATGATACCAACAAGTGTTTGCTATAGTGACTGGGTTCTTGCACATGGTTGAATGTGCCTGTGATAGACAGCTCACACAGCCAATGAGGGTGGAGGCAGGAGAGGAGTACTAGCTGGAGGCAGTTTTTCCTGTTTAATCATGGACTACCTCTAGGTTTATGCTTTATTTACATGCATGGTCTTCAGTCCTGTAAAGCAGGCAATATTACGGAAGTTTGAGCATTCTAAGGACATAACCAGTAAATACCATGTCCTGGATTGGAACTGAGGTATGTTGGGTAGATTTCGACTATGTTAGTATTGGTGAAATTCGAGGGAAATTCTGAATCCTAGATCACCATTGCCCCTCTCACCCAATCCTGGAGGAAGTATGATAACATCTACATGGTGTTCATGAAAGCTAATGACGCTTACTCACCACCCTCACCCAATCTTGGAGGAGGTATAATAATATTTTCATAGCGTTTATCAGAGATAATGACCCTTACATTTTATATTTATAGACAAGGGATCACTCCTCTCCCGGTATCACAATATTCAACTTGCTTTTAAAAAGCTTCCATAAAATAAATGCAGATCTTATAGTACATGCCCATGTGTGTGTCATTCTTGCTGACTGAGGTAGGCAGACAATTGATCAGAACTGAAACTAATAAACTTCAAAATAGGTACTGAGCTAAGATGGCTAAAACCTACATTTCAAAATGGGGAAAAGAATGTTCAGTTCGTTTCTGGCTCTGAGGATAATCCTGTCTGTCTATTATACATATCTATCTGCCATCCTTCCTTTCCTCAGGATAAAGAAAAAATCCTTACAGACCAGAACCATAAATCAGTGGTCCAGGGGATTTGCTTTGTTTGGCCTAGAAGGTACTGGAAAAAGAAATGGGAAATGTTACCTTTTCTGAAAAAGTAAGAGATATTGCACAAAACAATTGGGCTTTCTATTTCTCATAATGTGAGGGGCAGGGTGATGGCTGAAGGGCTCATGTGTAAGAAGAGGCTGCATGGTTTGCATGAAGGGTAGAGGGCCTCAGGGCTCACTCACCATGATCTTGGCTTTGATGGCCGCCAGTTTCTCCTGTGCAGCACTGAGGTCAGTGGTGGCTTTGCTCAGTGCTTGGCGCTTGGGTTCTACATCACAGAACACCTCGTAGAACCTCATAATGTTTATGACCCAAGAACAAAGGCCTGCGGCCGCATACGACTTGGTGGCCACAAACTCAGGATTGAACTCGGGGTCCTTCAGATAGGGCCTGATGGCTTTGAGGCAATTCTCGTGAATATTCTCCTTGTCAAAGTTGATGAGTGAGTCCAGGAAACTGTCCACTTTGGCCATGGTGATTTTCGCTGCTTTCCAGCTCCGGTCTTTGGGTACCTTGCCCCCCGGAGCCATGAGCACCATCACCGCAGCGCTGACATTGCTGACAGCCGCAGGTGGGGAACCAAATGACTTCAGCTCTGTCAGGTTCGTCTGGGAAAAGAGAAGGACATTGTTAGAGGAAAACGAATGAGCTTTTCTTTGTCACGCCAACCACTAATGGAGTTAGACTGGAGAGTGATGAATCTGAAAGGGTTGCTTTGAAGCCAGCAGCAGCCCTTCGAATTTTAAATATCATGACTCATCCAAAGGAAGGCACAGCTACTCCCCAGAGGCTTCTAGGCTCCCCGAATGGCAAGCCCCAGACTTAGCCATGTTCTTTCAGAACTTTAAGTGACGCTCAGCCCATTAGAAACACACAATTATTTCACACCCAGCAGAAAAAAAAAATACAAGCGTGCTAACTAACATACTCTGAAATAGGCAGCCTGACATGAATAAAAGATAAGGTTATTATAAATTAATTTCCATCTTGGATGGCGGAGAATAGCACTGAAACTCAACTGATTTTTTTTTCTTTAATTAAACTGCTTTGTTCCATGAGCTTGTTCTCATGACACTTGACTGCCCTGATAGCAAAGTGGCATTTTTCTGCCAAGAAATAATTCAGACAGAAAGCTGGCGTATGACACAGCTGTCTCTGCCTGGCCTTAGATCTGTCCTCCTCTCCAGGTCTCACTTGCTTCAGAAAGATGTGTCTGAAAAGTTGCACCTTGGGGTCATTACTTCAACTTTCCAGGCTTTGGTGATTTCACCTGCAAATTGGGGGCTGAGCCCCTCTCTAATCTGTGCATTAAACTGTCTTAAATGCACACAAAACTGAGTAAAGACTAGCTTTGACATTCAATGAGAAGGCCAGGATTATGGACCCACTTGCTTCTGAGGAAGGTAAAAGGTGAAAAAAGAAATCACCATTATATTTTATTTTATTTTGGCAGTAGTAGGGATTGAACGTGGCCTTGCTAGGCTGGTGCTCTTCCACTTGAGCCACACTTTCAGCCCAGATTTTTGCTGATTATTTCTTGAGATATGCTCTTGAAAACTTCTCTGCCCAGGCTGGCCTCAAACAGTGGTACTTCTACTAGCAGCCTTCAGAGTAGGAGGATTATAGCAGAGAGCCACCTGTGCCTCGTTTGTTTTAGTTATTTTTGTGATAGGGTCTTGAATATAGCCCAGGGTTGACCTGGACTGAGATGCTTTTATTTAAGCTTCTTTTGCCTGGACTCAACTTAAACTGTGAGCTCCCCAATATTCACCTCCTAAGTATCTGTGATTCCAGGCATGAGCTACCATGCCTGGCTGTTTATTCTATTTTTAACCTGATTCTTCACTGCAAATACTAAGCTTTTTCTCATAAAGCATATTTTTAAGTAAACTACGTGCAATTTCCTTTCACTAGGATGCACCATAATTTATTTAGCCAGTTTCATAATATCATTGAGCATTTAAGCTATTGAAGATTTAATAATTGGTTAGATGACAGGAAGTTTTGAAGACATTAAAGACAAGTAAATAAAAAAACCACACTGGACTTCAATTAGAATTGTATTTAACTTATGAATGGATTGAGGATAATGACATCTTTGTAAAATGGAATCGTCCATCACACACACACACACACACACAAACACACACACACCTTGTATATATTTGTTTATTCACATCTTCAATAAAATGTGCAGTTTTTCTTCACAGTTTCAGCAAATTTCTTTGCACTTACTTGTACCTTATGTTTTGTTATTTTTGTTATCTTGAAATTATATTTTCCAACTGGATAGTGTGACTATTAGGAAAGCTATTATACCTTATAATGCATTTTTGTTATAGGCCTTTAACCCTCTCCTCTTATTTGTATTATTGTATTTTTATAGTATTTGTGAATAATGATTTCATGTGCTATTACTGGACACAGGTGTGATTCATAATTTTTGTTTACTAGTGAACTAGTGAGGAATCCAGGTGAATATTTCTAGTAACAGTAGTGAAGGGAGTTTTTGTGTGTGTCTTTTTCTGTGTTAATAGGAATGCCCCTGGTGCCCCATCATTAGACAAGAGTATTTTGCTATTGGATTGGGATTGATTGCCTTCTATTAACAATATATCCAAACACACACACACACTCTTTAAGTTTTGGTGGTATGAGGGATTGAACTCAGAACCTCACAGATGCTGGGCAGGTATTGTTCCACTTGAGCCACATCTCTAGCTCTTTTTTGTGTGTGTTGGTTATTTCCCAGGTAGGTTCTCATTTTATGCCAGGGCTGGCCTGGGCTGTGATTCTCCTACCTGTGCTTCCCCATGGAACTAGGAATGACAGACACATATCATTGAGTCCACCAATTGTGCTTCCCTGTAGCTTAGATAACAGGCAGGACAGGTCTACACCACTGCATTCAACCACTGCTTCATGAGACTGAGTCTCAAGAAGTTCTTACATCCTAGTTACCTTTAAACTGTGATTTCCCCATCTTTCTCCTTCCAAGTAGCTAGGATTGTAGGCCTTTGTGGCTTCATTTAGAGTTGACCAGGGTAATCATGAGAGTCTCCCTACCTTTAACCTGGTCTCACCTGCAAGATCATCTTACCATGCAAGGTAACATGTGAATGCTCCAGCTTTAGGGAGTGGATGGGTATCTCTGAGGGAGGGGAATTATTGTCTGACAAGTTCTATTAAACACTTTCCTACTTACTTACCTCAGATAAATACTTGCAATTACCAAATCCAAAAAAAATATTACCAAATTCAAAAAGAATATTTGCTTAACAATGGATGAATCAGTAAAACACAGTACAATATGGTATATTATACCATGATTTAAGAAAATGAGGTTTTGATGTATGAACTGACATTAAAAGAACCTTGTTTTCAAGAGGGAAAAGAACACTCAATGTATGAATAAGATCAGGTAACATCTTTATCCTATTCATTTTTGCATGTCACAGATTTTACAGAGTGAAATAAGCCAGAGGTTTAGGGTCCTCTTGTCAAAAAATGGCAGACACTCCCTCTCTCCCCGCCCCCTCTCTCAATTGCTGAATAGTACTCCCATGTCTGCGTGTCTGCATGTATATATGCACAAATGTGAATACACTACCGTTCCAATCCATTTACCTACTGATAGGCACAGGTTGTTTTCATCTCTTAGCTATTGTAAATAATAAGACAATGAACATGGGAATGCAGATATCCATATGGGAGAGTGTGGATTTCAGGGTTGGCTAGATGACAAACAAATACTTCTCTTGTGAAGTTTTTGAGGAACTGCCAAGCCATTATATCTATTTCCTTCCCACCAATGGTGTCTAAGAAATCCCTTTCCTCCATACTTTCGCCAAAAATTATTTTTGTACATGGGGAATTTGCTAAAGTAGATTCTTACAGATTTTAGATGTTCTTCACCTCCCTCCAGATGCAAATAGCCCACTCTATAGACAAGTAGGTGAAGTGACTGTTTTTCTTGATGGCATAATTGTTTCGCTATGCACATCAAAACATCGTGTTGTCTGCCCTAAATAAGTACAATAAAAAAAGAGGGAAAGTAAGCTAGAGGCATCTATATTTAACTTATGCTATATCTTTTTTTGTTGTTGTTTTGTCAGTCGTGGGGCTTGAACTCTGGGCCTGAGCGCTGTCCCTCAGCTCTTCAGCTCAAGGCTAGCGCTCTACCACTTGAGCTACAGTGCCACTTCCAGTTTGCTGGTGGTTTATTGGAGATAAGAGTTTCATGGACTTTCTGCCCGGGCTGGCTTCGAACCACAATCCTCAGATCTCAGCCTCCTGAGTACTAGGGTTACAGGCATGAGCCACCAGCTCCTAGCTTATGCTATATCTTATATGTACATTTATACAAATGTAAATAGGAATAGGAAATTGTCAGAATAGTTATACCCACATCCTTACAGGAGCTACTTCTGGGAAGATATGCAGTAGAAAATGAGAGTGACTTTATATTTGACCCTATGTATCTATAATTTTTAATTATTTTAACAATAATTTCTTGTACATTATGTATTTAATACACCATAAATTCACTGTAAATACATGAGAAACAGAAAATTATAAGTAACTTTTGTGGATGTTTAAGGCCATGACATTGAAAGATACACCATTTTTTAAACTAAGCCAGAAAATGTTACACTGGATTTATTTCAGTTGAACTATAAAAGCAAAAATAAAGCTGCCAAAATGGAGACAGAATGTGCAGAGACTTACTACCAAGCTCTGATTTACAGGTATTCTTTATGCATTCACTGAAGATTTATTGTTAACTTTGAATATGATGAACAAACAGGGAAATGGTCCTTAAATATCAGAGTGGTGTGAGTGAAAAGATTCTGAGGACAATGCGCAGGGGTTCTCTGGTCAAGAAGCCAAACCTGCCCAGTTACATGTGGCTCATTCTGGTTCTTTCTACTCCATGGGAAGAAAAGGAGGAGGAGGAGGAGGAGGAGGAGGAGGAGGAGGAGGAGGAGGAGGAGGAGGAGGAGGAGGAGGAGGAGGAGGAGGAGGAGGAGGAGGAAGAGGAGGAGGAGGAGGAGGAGGAGGAAAAGGGAGGGAGGGAGGGAAGAGGAGGAGGGAGGGAGGAGGAAGGAGTAGTGGGGGAGGGGGAGGAGAAAGTGGTATACTCGGATGCATTTTATTACAGAGGAGAAAGAGGAGGAGGATTGGATCAGAAGGACATAGAAGAAGAAAAAAGAGGAAGGATGAGAGGGAAAAGAGGACAAGGGCAAGAAACCTATATTTAATTGATTTTCTACAATGTACCAATTATATGCAAGGGGAAAGGGATAATCCCTTTAACAAATGGTGTGAAAAAACTATGCAAAAAAGAATGAAATTGAGCCCCTCTCTTATACCATATGCAAAAATTAACTTAAAATAAGCTAAAGACTTAAGCATGAGACCTGAAACTATGAAACTAGTAGAAGGAAACAGGGAATAAGACAAGCACTGGCCTGGGCAATGTTTTTGTTTTTATTTTTAGAGATGATTTCAAAAGCATAAGCAACAAAAGCAAAAATAAGCAAATGAAATTACATCAAAATACGACAGCTTCTGTGTGTGTGTTTGTGTGTGTGTGTGTGTGTGTGTGTGTCTAGAAAGCAACATAATAAAGAGAAGATCTCCATATTAGGAGAAAATATAACTAATCCATATAGTTGATCAAGACAAAGGAGGAGGCAACAATGCTTGATAAGAAATGTACTCATTACCTTGCTCATGTAACTGTAACCCCTCTGTACAGTGTTTTCACAATAAAAACTTATTAAAAAAGAATTAATGTTGTGTGTGTGTATATGTAACTTAAGCAACTTCATTAAAGAAAACCAATAATCAATTTTAGAAATGGACAACGGACTTGAATAATCATTTTTTTTTCAAATGAAAACATGGATGGCTAATAGCTAACTGGAAAAAATGCTCAACTTCACTAATCTTTTGTGATTGAAGAGGAAAAATAAAACCACACAGCGAGACATCACTCCTATCTGATAAAAGGGTTGTTACTAAAGAGATGAATGCTGAGCTCTTTGTCAAGGGTGTGGAGAAAAGGGAACCCTTGCTCACTGTTAGCATGATGGAAATTACTACAGACATGATGGAAAAGAAAAGATAATGACCATGTGACCCAGCACTCCCATTGTTGGGTATCTGCCCGAAAGATTTAAAATTTGTATGTCAAGGAAATACTCCATTTTCATTTTATACTATTCACAATAGCCAATATATGGAATTAACCTAAAAGTCCTTCAATAGCTGAGTGGATAAAAAGAATGGTGTGTGTGTGTGTGTGTGTGTGTAATATAATGGAATATAATTCAGTCTTAAAAAAGAAAGACATAGCCTGGCACCAGTGGCTTATGCTTGTAATCCTAGCTACTCAGGAGGATGAGCTCTGAGGATTGTGGTTCGAAGCAGGAAAATCCATGGGACTCTTACCTCCAATAAATTACTCAGAAAAAGCCAGCAGTGGTGCTGTGGCTCAAGGGGTAGAGCACTAGCCTTAAGTAAAAGAAGCCTAGAGAGAGAGCCCAGGCCCAAAGATCAAGCCCCAGGACTGGCAAAAAAAATTTAAAAAAGACATTCTATCATTTGTGACAGCATGGATAAAATTTGAGAAGGTTATACTACGTGAAATAAACTGAACACAGAAAGGCAAAACACAATGAATTTCCATCCCATTTATGGGACCTAAGACAAATTGAACTAATTGAAGCAGAGGAGAATGGGGATTACTAGAGTCCCAGGGTGGAGGAACTTAGGAGTTATGGAGCAATTCTACTCAAAGAAGCCTCAGTTAAATGGGAGGAATACATATTAAATTTTTTGAGATCTGTTATTGCAAAGGATGATGAATATAGCCAACAGTTGAGTACTGTATATGTTGATATCACTCCAGGAACAAATTTCAAATCCTCTCATCACAAAAATATTAAATATTTGAGGCAATGGGTATGTTAATTAGCTTGATTCAATCATCCCACATTGAATTGAAAAATCATAACATCACTTTGTAACCCATAAATACATGCAAGTATAATTCTGTCAGTGTAGAAGAAGGAAAAAGGATTGCTCAGACTTCTGAAATAGGCAGATAGCAGTGGACCAGGGTGGGTGAACAGAGTCTACCTAGGTAGAATGATGGGGGCTGGGACCCTCATGAAAGCAGGAGGCCTGATTTATGTGGAATGAACCGAAAGGAGAAGGAATCCTAAATGATGCAGGGCTGAACACAGTCTAATTTGAGGCCTGCAGGTTGACCTGGCTGCTGCTTTGAGCTCAGGGAGAAACCTGGCTTGGGTGTACTTAAAACTCCCCATTATCACCACTTAATTGAACACTTGCTAAATTGGTTTTACAGATTATTTTTCATATTTTGGAGCTAATATTTTAGTCTTTTTGTTTATTATATTTTTTTTCTATGTAGTAGTGGGGTTTGAACTCAGGGCCTGGATGTTGTCTCTTAGATTTTTTTTTGCTCAAAGCTGGTGATCAGTTGAGCCATAGCTCCACTTCTGCTTTTCGTTTGTGGTGGCTCATTGGAGATAAGAGTCTCGTTCATGGAGTTGAGAGTTTCACAGCCTGGCTGGGCTTAGATCTCAGCTTCCTTGGCCTTCTATCTTACACCATTGAGGATAAGCTTAGGTGTCCTGTAGTCCCCAGTGGGCAAACGTAGTCCAGGGTTATCACAGCAGGACAATGTCTGGGACTGGATTCTGCAGATCGGGGAAGTTCGCTACCTAGATATCATGCTTGAATCTATTGACTCTGGGCATGTCATTCTCTTCTCTGGGCCTTGACTTGGAGCCCACTTTTAGTTCCTGCTTCACTCTCATCATCTCCCAGGAATAGCTGGGTATGGCATTGTGTCTGGATCCCCCCACCAAGAGGCAAGCAGGTGCGGCCGACTTGCTCCTACCTTGTTAAGGGTGTTAAGAGCTGCCTGGGCTGCCATGAGGGCTGGCTCTGCTTTGGCGAGGTCTTCCTCACAGTCCTTCTGCTTCTGCTGTACCTCGAGCATGATGAGGGCCACCTTCCGCTCTTCCTCGTCGGCCACAGCTTTCTCTCTGCTCATCTTCTCTGTCTCCACACCCACCACCCGAATCAGCTTGTCTGCGGCTTCGTTCTTCTGCTTTAGCTCCACTTCCTGGGTGGCCAGCTTGGCTTTCAGATCATCCACCTGCATTGGAGAAGAAGTATGGGGCTTATCATGAGTAGAGGGAGGATGGGTAGGCATGGCCCTGAGGACCCAACTCTGCAGAGCACAACAGAAATCCAACTTCGTTTTTGCTGGTACTGGGGCTTGAACTAGGGCCGAGGCACTGTCCTTTAGCTTTTTCACTCAATGCCAGTGCTCTACCATTTGAACCATAGTTCCGTGGCTGGCTTTTTGCTGGTTAATTTAAGGTAAGAGTCTCATGGTCTTTCCTGTGTGGACTGGCTTTGAACCTTGATTCTCAGATCTCAGCCTCATGAGTGGCTAACACTGGATGCAAAGCTATATTCTCTGATGGGTCCAAGCAGCTCCCTGACCTGGGAAAGAAAAAAAAAACCAAACACTGGACACTCTCTCATTCTCTAGAGAAGTATGGTGAAATATTTTAGAATGGAGTGCCCCAATCCTTCCCTTCATTTCCAAGTGATCTGAGCTGCTTCTTACTGACATTGGTTGGTGCTATGTTTTTTTTCTTTTTAAATATACATGTGTCTAACATAATACTTTGCCTAGCAAGGAGGCCCCTAAAAAGATCACTTGTTTAATTAAAAAACACTGACTCAGTAGCTTTTGGTGGTTCTCAATGTTCCATAGCCTTGCTAGAAATAGATGACCAGGCTAACATGGGACATGAAGGATCCTACTGATCAGGCCAGCTGGATTCCTGGATCAGCTCTGAAGTCAAACATGGGCTGAAGGCATAATGGGGTGACAGGAGGATCAGCACTGGGAAATTGTCTGTTGATCTTACTATCTGGGAGGCTAGGGATGGTGTTCTGTGTACAGTCAGGTCAGCAGGGTATGTGGTTGCCTAGGAGTAGCAGCATCCACATTACCTCTGAATGAGATGTGCAAACTCCCCGGCCCGACTCCACACCTACTGAGTCAGAATTTCTTGAAAGTAGGGCCTGGAAGTCTGCACTTTAAGAGGTCTCTAGTGGATTCTGATGCCAGTCTCATGGAATGGTCTTTTTTCACGTGCAAAAGGAAGACACAGACTTATTTACTTTAGAAGAGTGAAATAGCCATTTGTATTTAAAGTACAGTCCATAAACTTTTCGTTCCAGTATGACCTCTTGCCTTTTAATTTTCTGCAGTCTATTGCACACAGTGACCAAAGATTACTTCAGAGCTCCTGGAACATGTTGAACTGACTCAAATGCTTTATGATGCAAAATTCATAAGGGGAAAAAATAAAACTGAGGCTTAGAAGCTGCTGATAATTCCCTTTTCATAGCAGATCAAAGGAAAGAAAAGAAATTGGGTGGGGGGGGGGGAGAGGGAGAGAATGCTCTTTAATTTTGTGTATTCATGGAAGCCAGGAGACTTTGTGTTAACCTCAAATAGAGGCTGCTCCCTAGAAGCGCCTTATATTCACATGTTGGAAGGTTAATCTGTTTCTAGTCTCCTGTTGTTCAGCTGTGGAGTTATTTCTACAAGGACAGAGATGTAATTGTAAATCAAATTGATGGAGCTGCATAATCACTCCAGTCAGCAAACACACCAGTAACTTTTTGTTCCATTTTAAATCTTGGGAGATTTGAGAAAATGGAAGTGAAGGTTTTCCTCTTCTTCTTCCTCTCCTCGTCCTCCTCCTCCTCCTCCTCCTCCTCCTCCTCCTCGTCCTCGTCCTCCTCCTCCTCGTCCTCGTCCTCGTCCTCCTCCTCGTCCTCCTCCTCCTCCTCCTCCTCCTTTTCCTCTTCCTCCTCCTCCTCCTTCTTTACCTTCTTCTTTTATTCTCCATTGTTGTTTTGTTGATTGCAATCTGCAATCCCCTGCACTGTGACTAGGAGCTTGATAGCATTTAAAAAGATGGGAGGGTTTTGCTGGTTAGAAGTAGGCCACTGCCTACCAAAACACAGGGAAGATAGACCTCTGGGTTTATTTTATGACTTTTCTGCAATAGATTAGGAAATTAGAACATATTATTTTAAACTTTTCTTTTCCCCCTTCCCACAGTTAAAATACTGAAGCCACAGTTAGACTGCTCCTTATTTAAAGACATCCCCCATCCCCAACCTTGTAACACGGGAAGATTAAGAAAAGGGTGCCACAGACACAGAAGAGACACTTCCATACAATCCTGTTGGTACTAGGATTTGAGACCATGTGTGGTCAAGAAGAAATGCCCATGGAAAGGGTGACAAGATAGGGGTACTGGGAAACATTGAAACAGGTACATGGATGTTCTGTGCACCAGAAACAGAATACTGGGACTTGCCCCACAAGAGGGTCAGAGTATTTTTCTCAAATCTTAGTCCCTAGAAACCATTCTTTATGTGTGTGAATTAGTTCAAAAGCATAACAACAGACTGACTAAAATAAACTTGTGCTATCTGGAAGAGCGAAGAAGAAAATACAAAAAAGACGGGATGATTGGGACCTTTGTATGTTGGCTTGCTAGTTAGATATATTAGAAGAAATGTCTGATCTGAGATAGCATTTGCTTAAGAAATGAGGTTTCAATGAGAAGAGTCCAGCAACTGCTTCGCTCCACCATTCATTTCTTTTGGTTTTCAGGATGGAAAGAGCTACAGTTTGGGTGGTTTGTATGCTAAAGTGGCATGTGCTGAGCTTGGTCCCCAGTGTGGTGGTCTTGTGGTGCTGGATCCTTTAAGGGGTGGAGCTCCATTCTCATGAGTTGTTGTCTTTTTGGGAGTAGATCTTGTCTCATGGGACTGGACTAGATTCCATGAGGATGAATTGTCATTATCTTCCCTTAGTCCCTCTTTTGCACATGTCCTCAACATTGGCTAGGAGACTGTCAGTGGAGCCAATAGTTCCTGATGTTTCTAAGCCTCCCGGATTGTAAGTAAAATAAACTCTTTTCTCTACAAAATACTGTGTTGCCTCAGGTTACAACTTCCTTGTGACACATCAAAAAGACTATAACAGAATGGACGCGAATTGGAGAGGAGAAGAAAGCTGAGGGGCAGACAAAGGTTGCAAAGAGGGAGAGAGAAGAGGTCCCTCCAGAAATTCCAGGCTCAGTGAGCTGTTAGCAAACCAGATCTAAGGTGGAAGATGTGTGCCTCTACTGGGGGAATTCAGCCATAACTTTTGGTACAGGTTCTGATGCCTCACGGGTCCCTGGAGAACTCTACATGATATAAATGATTTTCCAGAGTTTGATCCCTTCAGTATGCTAGGGGAATGTTCCTTCTGCAGGTAGGAGAGGAGGGTGTGTCCCTCACCTGAGCAGAAGTGCTATGCAGCTTCAACAAGCCATTCTCCAGCCGCTCCATTTTGTACTGCAGTTCTTTCCTGTTCCTGTGCAGTAAGCTCTGGTAGAGTCTGATGAACTCCAGAAAGGACTTGGGAGTTGTGTAGTTGTAGTGCTGCTCATTGCTCAGATACAGCTGGGATGTTTGGTTGACACTTGTGTGCACAAATGCCATAAACTTGCTAATGGACTGCTTCACTGCAGGCTAAAAAACAAGAAGTTATCTCTACACGGGAAGTCATCTCTATACAGGGAGTCATCTCTACATAAAGACTGAGGCAACCATCCACTCCACTCATCCTTCATCATATGGAAAGTTGTGTTTCAACAGCTCTGTGTCAGGCTGAAGTTTAACACTGACATTTGGGTCTTGAATTCCTTGTGTCCCAAGGTGGGGAGGACCCGGAGGAATCTCCTCCTCCTTCTCACCTCAATGTTCTCTGTGTTCTGCAAGAAACGGAGGCTGACTGACTCCAGAGCCTGTGGAGGCCACTCATGGAACCAGTCGATGGCTGTGCAGTTGACAATGGCTGGGAACTTCCTGCTTCGAACCCTTAGCTTGTTCCCCACAGGGGAGAAACAGAGAGTCACCTGAAGAAATGAGAAGCTATCAGAGAGAGACATACAGCAGAGGATGTGGCTCTGGATTCTGGCTGTCCTAGAAAACTGAGCTGCACATGCAACAGTGAGCTAGTGAGCTTTTCTAGCCATGAGCTCAAGATCTGATGCATGCATCACCATGGATCAAAGGACATGGATCATAAAGGAGATGAGAATGGCACCTTTGTAATGGTGCTTCAGGCTGAAGAGGGTGCTGTACCTACACCACCTATTCCTAGATAGTCTGTAAAGACAGCTGTGTCCACGACACCAGCAGAAGCTCTCATGGACTATCTCTGGCAGGTGGGGAACTTTTCTTTACCTTCAGCTGTCTTCGGATCCGTTCTATGAAGAACTTCCAGCAGTTTTCTCGGTTGTCAAGCAGACCTTGGGTCTTGACCTCATTCCTCACATTGCTGAGGATGTTCTCAACCTCATCATCAGAGTAGAGGTCTGGGATCTCTCCTGGGAATCAGTGGAACACAGAAGGGCAGTGCTGGCATCTTGCTTAATGATGCAATCAGACATTGGTAATCTTACCTTGGTGTACATTATGCTGACACTGGATAGATACTATTAGTACACCAACCAGATGAATGGAGAAAGGAAGAGTAGGTGAATACAGACATAATATTCCATGTACCTGTGAGTGGAAGCAGGTAACTTGAGGGGATGAGTGAGATGGTCAAGATGGGGAGGAACAGAATGATGGAAGGGATGACATGGATCAAGATTCATTGTGCTCATAAACAGACATGTTGAATTGAAACCCCTTTGCACAACTACTTAAAGATAATTTAAAAGGTACAACAAATTCAGAGAGGGAAGGGACTGTGTTAGTGATAGCATGGGGAGTAAGGATCAGTGAGGAGCAGATCATCCTATAACACATGAATGGTATGCTCTCTCTCAAAGCATTTACTTACTAACGACTCTGTGGTTGGCTCTGTGTATTGGTGCACTCCCAAGGAGCTTAATATTTAGTATGAAATAGAAAATATATTTATGCATAAGACTATGCATCTAAAGGACCATAAAGACACCTACCGATAGTGGGTCTATTTAAGAAGAGCAAGCAATCAGTTTCTATTGGAGAGGAAGGAAGACAGCAGGCAGAGCTTCATGGAATTCGGCATACCGTAAGTATGATAGTTGAAATCAATGATGAATTGTTCAGTAATTTATTATACGGGATTTGCAAAGTTTATATCTGGAACATTTTAGATTGGGTTCTTGTATTGGACAAAAGATAAACTGTAAATGGATCAATGTTTTTCTTATTAAAAACATAAAAATTGTTAGGTGCTGGTGTCTTATACGTATAAGCCTAGCTACTCAGGAGGCTGAGAGCTGAGGATCATTGTTTGAAACCAGCCTGGTTAGGAAAGTCTGAGAGACTCTTATCTCCAATTATATACTACTAGGGATAGGAGATGAGTCAAGTGGTAAAGCACTTGCCTAGCAAGCACAAAGCCTTGAGTTCAAATCCCAGTATTATAAAAAAAGTAATCAATTACAAACTACACAAGCTATGTGTGATTCAAAGTGGTAGAGCTCTAGCCTTGAGCAAAAACACTGCAGGACAATGTGCCAGCTCTGAGTTCAAGCCCCAGGAGCAACCAAAAAAAGAAAACAAACAAGCAAAAAAAAAAACTCCACATAAAATAATAGAAAATATGGAAACTACTTTGGGATATACATGAATGTGTGTGTGTGTGTAGATACATATATATATACACACACACACACACACACACACACACACACACACACACACACACACACACACACATACATATTTCTATCACTAAGAAAAAGAAAGTTAATTTCAGGTAGAAAAAATGGATACATTTGGCAACATAAAAATATTTTAAAATGTGGTAAAAAATCAAAAATAAATAACACAACAATAACATAACTTAGAGACAAATGAAAGAAATACGCATCAGCTCACATTGTGGTTAATAGTCGATGTTTCTACCATGTAAAGGAATTCTCTACAAATAAAAGATCAGTAAATCAACAGAGATTCAGGAGAAGTTCATAGTGAAGAAAATAAAAATATCTCTTGGATATATGAATAGATTTTTAATCTCACTTGTAATGACAGGAATGTACACGAAGACTGCCTAGTTACTTTTCTGTCACAGATTAGGTTTCCAAACATGGACACACACTCACAACAGCAGAAATATACATTAACATTGTCCCCAACTATGCTTTTTTTAATAAAAAAAAACAAATTAGAGCTAGGAAGGTGGCTCAGTGGTAGAGTGCTTGACTTGCATGCATGAGGCACTGGGTTTCATTCCTTAGCACCACATAAGCACAAAAAGCTGGAAGTGGTGCTGTGGCTCAAGTGGTAGAGCATTAGCCTTGAGCTGAAGAGCTGAGGGACAGCACCCAGGCCCAGAGTTCAAGCCCCATGACCATCCCCCCAAACCCCCCTCCCCAATATGAAGGATTTGAAAAGGAAATAAAACATTGTATTAATGAAGAAGTATAGGAGAATAAAATTATGTGCTCAATCTCACTAATTCATCAAAACTTAAAAATCTTAATGCAGAAGAATCAATGTATGATAGCTGAGTCAAGTTTATCCTGGAAATTCAAAGAGAGCTACAAAGTAGAAAAAAATCTATGAAAATAATTCACATTAATAAAGAACAAAATGTATGACTATTTAAATAGATGCAGAGAATTTTTTGTCCAACCACTCTGGAAAGCAGTGTGGATGGCCCTCATAAAATTAAACATTTGAACTGCCACATGATCCAGCAATTCCACTCTTGGGTGTTTACCCAAACCAGGATACTGTAAAACCACCAGCATAACCAGCACTGTAGCCAAGCTTTGGAATCAATCCACATGTCCCTCAGTGGGAAAATAGATCAAGAAAATGTAGTATATATACCACAATGAAATTTTACTCATGCATTAGAAAGAATGATATTGTAGCGTTCATGAAGAAATGGAAAGATCTTGAAAAAATTATGGTAACTGAAGTAAGTCAGGCTGAGAGACAAAGGATGCATGTTTCCCCATATATGTGGAAGCTACATTTAGCTTGTTAACTTATATAAGTAAATAAGTTGGGTGGTATGAAAGTATATACAAATATATTAACTGAAATATGGTAGAATCAAGGGAGATCTAAAATAGTGTAATTCCTTAGAAAGGCAAAATAAAAGTTCAGCAAAAATAACACCCCAAGAAGAAGTCCTTGAAAGGGGTGGGGTCAAAGGGAAAGTGGTAGACAAATGAAGAGGAGGAGAGAGTAGAATGCAGTCAAGAACCCAATATATATCCTAAAAAATTAAGAAGAATGAGGGAAGGGATCAATAGGGGAAGGATGGCTAAGAATGTTCACAGTGGGGTGATGTAATAATGTATTCATAAACTGCTTTGTTAAATGGCACCTTCTTTGTGAACAACTTAAAGATAATAATAAAAAATGTTGGCAAACTAGGAAACAATAGGTTTATATTGATTGGAATAATATAGACCTCTACCTTAAATCCAAAGCAAAAATCTAAGCTAAAAGTAAAATGTTAAATATTCCCTTTTCAATAAAGTATGATAAAAAACAGCTGTTAACATATTTTTCTATTCAATATTATATAGATCCCAGACTATGCAAAAAGTGAAAAAAAAATAAGAATGTGTAAGGATATATAAGGATAGTTAAGAAAGCAATAAAATTATTATTGTTTCAAATCTGATTTCATACCTGGAAAATCTATGAGAATATTTACATAAACAATCAGTACTTCAATAACATGTTTCCTGTGTAGAAAAACCAATGTTTGAAATTAAATCATGTTTCTATTTTCCAGCCAAGAAGTAGAGTTAATCTAAAAGTTATATAGAATACCAACAAAAACCATAGACAGCTAAGCAACAAATACATAAAAGATATACCTGATCTTAATTCCTATTAAGACTATAGTGGAGAAAATGCAAGCCTTAGGAGGTGAAGAGAAATCTTGTGCTTGTGGGGATTGGTGTAGTACCCTCTCAATTACAAAGATACAATTCCAATACAAATATTCAGAGGTTTCATTTCTTGATCCTGACAAACATATCCTAAAACATAGATGACACTCCATCCATCATTTTCTCCCATCTCTCATTTCAAGAAACCTGGTTCCATTTTCATATATATATATACATTGTTATTATGACTGTATTCACCCATTCTCTCTTTTTGTCTGCCCAATAATTTTTCTACATAACAGACAAAAAGTATAATTATAATAACTGAATATGTGAAATTTCAGTTTTACTAGCTAATTTGCTATTACTCTCCTGGTGAATTGATCCAATGTATATTGCCATTAACAGAATACTAATGTTAATCTTTTTTTTTTCCTTTTACTTAGGTTTGAACCTAGAGCTGTAAACTTGCCTAATTTGTGTGTTCAGCTGGCACTTAACCATTTAATATGTTTACTATATTGTGAATAGTTTGTCAGTTGATTATGAAAAGCTGAGAATAAATATATTGGTTTGTCATTCAGGTGCAGATACAGAGGCACTGCACTTATAAACTAACATGTATTGAAACTCCCTTGTATAACTATTTAAAGGTAATAAAAGCTAAATTATAATAAAAGAAAAATGATTGGACATTTTCTCAAGTACTTTCTCTTAGAACAGAAGATATTTTTAATCAACAAAGATAAATATCTCTAGCTCTTTCTTTCTAGATATACTGAGCTTTATTGTAGATGTTTGGTCTCTAAGGCTGCGTAAGAGTCATTCTTGAGCACTTTGAACTTGGTTCCTCTTAGATGTTGTGTTAATTGCCCATACTCAATTTTTATTGTAAAAATAGTGTACAGAGGGGTTACATTTTCTATCTAGCATTGTTACCTCCTCCTTAGTTTTCCCCTACTATCCCTTCCCTCCCCACCTCCCCAACTCCTCCCTCTCTCTCTCCCTCCCCCACTTGGGGAGGGGAAGGGAAAAACAAAATGCTTAAATAGGGATACAGGTTGACCCATTGTAACCATGAGATGTACAAAACACTATGTTGAAAATGAACTTCACCCATACTCAATTTTAAAACAATGTAATTTTGTAGATTCTTTTATAAAGATACCACTTCTTTACATCCCTTTAGCAAGTAATGATAAAAGGTATAAAAATCAGAGGCTCAAGTAGGACTAGAACCTGTCTTTAGATTTTAAATATATATATTGGGATGTAAATTAACTTTCAGATTATCCAGTCAATACAATTTTCAAACTGTGATGATTGCAATAGGATTCTTGTAAGGCACTATATGGAAGAATGAATGATACACTTCAAAGGATCACTGGTTTTTGGTATTTCATATAGTTATATAAAGTAATATATTAAAGATGGAGACGTGCTATAAAAATAAAAATGTATACAGAAGAGAAAAGGTGAAGGAAGGCTATTCCTGAGAAAGAACCAAAGGTAGGATTCTTCCAGTCACA